TGAGAAGCTGGGTCGGCGCCCCAGTCCGGATGGGAGCCCAGCGCCACATCTTCGTCCGCCTCGTCTCTGGGGCGCCAGTGCCCGTCTGAATCAAGAACCATATCACTCTTGGCGAAGACGTGATCACGCGCTGAACGACCTGCCTGCTTCCAGAAACGAGAGCGCCCCTGGATTCGGCCAATCGCGCCCGCCCCCTCTGCCCAACGTCACTCGCGCTAGCGGCGTAGCCGTGCTCTGAGGCGGCGTCGGCCACTGCCGCTGCCGGATGCCAATCTCCGCGCCGCCCGCCCACGAGGAGAGGCATCGCGCCGAAGAATGCCTCGACCTCGCGGCGACTCGACTCCCAGAGCGGCTCCGCCGTGAGATCATTGGCCTGGATGAACTCATAGAGGGAGCTGAAGACGCACAGGGTGCCCCTTTTCCAGAGCCCCACAATGGCACAGCGCCCCAAGGGGATCTCCCACGCGCGGCCGCGCAAGGCCTGGTGCCAAAGGGCCCGCGCCAGGCCTGCCCGACTCTCCAGCACCTCTTCGGAGTCATGCGGGCGCGCGGACTATCGCCGTCAAGCGCGCGGCCCAAGGCGCCCCCCGCGCCCGCGAAGACCTCCGCCCCGCGGGCGTCCAGGCGGGCGTTCGCGAGGCGGGTTGAGGCGCCAGCAAGGCTATCCCGATCCTTTTCCTCTCTCCAACCGAGCGCTCCAAGGTCGCCATCCACGCGCGCGTTGTAGGCGCATGCAGCAGCGGGCCCCGTGGCCCCCGAGAGGAATCCAGAACTCTTGTCACCGAGACCGGGCACGGAGATCAGCTTAGGGACCGAACCCGCGATGCCTTCGTTGGTGCGCTGGCAGAAGTACAGGGGCCATGTAAAAACCATTGGTAGGCCCCCGACGGCAGGAGAGACCCACGAGTTGGCCCCCATGGTGATGCCCCCCACTTGTCTTCCACACAGACCAACTTCCCTGGCCCGGACAGGCTGGAGGCAGAAGAAGGCAGGGAGGTCCCAATCAATCTTGAATCTGCGATTAGCATCTTTAACATTCGATGTGCCGATGCAAAAACTGGCCCGCGATCTTTGGGCAGGCGCTTGCGAGCACGGCGGACCACGCCAAGCTTCGCCAGACCTTCGGCGGCCACGAGGCCCACCCCGGGCGGCGCGCAAAAATGAAGTCGGCACCGTCTAGCGTCGACTATCGACGCTATGCGGCCCGCCCCTTTCTTGGCAACGAAAAAGGTGCCCACTTCCTCCCCCCCCCCACCTCTCAGCGTTCAAAAACGCCATGAGGCCGCGGCGTCGCATATCCCGCAAAAGCCGCAGGCACCTTGTGCGACCATGAAGAAGAGGGGGGGGGCCCAGAGGGGCCTGGGCCACGAGTCCGCCGCCCGAGCCTCTCGCTCAGGCGGCGGCGGCAGCGCGCGCTTCATGTGATCGCCCAAGAAGCGGCGCGCACCAGGTGGCGAAATCTCGGCAAGGCGCGGGGCGCCGTGCACAGATTCGGGAAGTGAAATCTGCCGCGCGCGCTGGAGACGACCAGCGCCCCTTCCGCCCGCCTCGGTCTCGTAGACCGAGCGGCCGTTGAGGAGGTTCCGAGAGGCCTCTCGCGGTGAAGGGATCGCGTCTTCGGAGAGGGCAGCCTCGACGGCCCCCACGACGCGCGCACGCGCCCCCGCGAAAATGTCAGCGCTTTGCGGTCTGCCCGCCGCGCCGCGGCAACGTGGCCAATTGCGAGCATCGACGACGGCATTCGGCTCGCGCATCTGTCGCCTCCGGCGGCGGGCCCTGCGAGCAGAGCCCCCCCGGCGTCGGCGGGGGGAGCGGCTGGCGCCGTGGCTCGGCACGGGGCAAGGGGGGCGAAGGTCAACGCTTTTCTCTCCCGATTTGGGCGCCCGAGTTATCCGGGGGAACTCGGGTCCGGGGTAACTCGGGTTTGGATTCCCGAGAAAGGAACCCGAGTTAGCCCTGACCCGAGTTACCCCTGATGATTCGGGGCTCTGGACGCCCGAGATATCCGGGGTAACTCGGGTCCGGGGTAACTCGGGTTCGGAATCCCGAAAAACGAACCCGAGTCATCCCTGACCCGAGTTACCCCTGATGATTCGGGGCTCTGGACGCCCGAGATATCCGGGGTAACTCGGGTCCGGGGTAACTCGGGTTCGGAATCCCGAAAAACGAACCCGAGTCATCCCTGACCCGAGTTACCCCTGATGACTCGGGGCTCTGAGATGGCCGTATTCAGGTCATGGCTTCGCGGCCGCCGCCTGGGCAGCAGCTGCGGCGGCGCTGCCCCCGTCGCCCCAGCCTCCGGCGCCGGCCTCTCCCTTCGGGGTGCCCTTCGGGCCCTTCGGGCCCTTGGAGCCAGCGCCGGCGGCAAGCGAACCGTCGACGGCGTCGCTCGCGATCGGGCTCCGCGGCGACTGCCCACTCAGAGGACTCTTCACGTTGTCGACGTCAGCCTTCGCCCTTTTTTTCGATATTTTGTTTCCTCCGTGGGACCTCTTGTCACTGCCGTAATGCTCCACAGCTCTGATGAAGTATTGAATCCGCATCCCCTCAAGGGGGCTTTGACGGCACCCATCGTCAAGGCCAGAATGACGCTGTGTGTGTGCATCCCAACGAGGTCCAACCGACCATTAAATAGACAGCACACAACGACAAGCTAAAGAAGAGTGCGCAGTACAATAAAAGAAATCAAACCGGCGTTAAAACTGTTATTTCAGATTGCGTCCATCTCCGCCGGAAGAGGAGGAGGACGACGACGGCGAAGGAGGAGACCGAGGAGGCGGGAGACACACATCCAAACCAAAGAGCCTGCTACAGCCAACCTGGAGTAGGTGAGCCGCTGCATGCACTAACAAGCTGGGACAACATGAAACAATGTACTGTAGGTCTATGCGCCCCTTGCGACCCAGGTGGCCACGTTGATAAACCTACAACGGACGAGAAGAGGAAAGGGCAAGGAAACAATAATACTGTCATGCGCACGCCGTCTCAAACAAGCAACCCGCCCCAGGTGCCCTACAATGAAACGTGGCGGTCGGCTGGGCAGCTTTTGCACACCAGTGAGAAGCTAAGAATCGGCCACGAGGGCCCCGCCAACAGACGCGGAAACGCGGGCCCAAAGCGGCTCGTGAGAGAAGAGCGGCTCCGTGCGCCGGGCAGCCAGAGGTCTGCCAGCATGCCCTGGCCGTGCAAGCGGCGTGACGGTGCTAATTGGAACGCCGGAGCGCCCACACACCCTGGACACGAGGAGGGGGGCAGAGGAGAGGCGAAAAGGCGGGGGAGAGCAGGACAAAGGAGGGAGACGGCTGCACGCTCAGAACGAGCGTCCTGGGCATCTACAGCCGACAGCAAACCTGTCATCTCGGAGTCGGGGATCGGCAGCCCGATGCGGAGAAAAAAAAATACTGCGACGGACGGGAAGAGGATGGAGGAGGCAGAGGAGAGGACAACACCCCTCCTCGAGCGCTGCGGGTGCCAACTGTTCTTCGACGAGCGGCCTGGACATTCATTCCTCTGGCAAGACGCCGCGGGTTTAAACCAGAAGCCGCTGCCTCGGACGCCACCCCCACGGGGGGCCACAGACCGGAGGGAAGCCCGGGACCGCCCCCCGACGACGACGACGACGACGACGACGACGACGACGACGACGACGACGACGACGACCAGGCGACGAAACGACCACGCCGACGACGGGGGAGACAGGGAGGGGGCGAGGGAAAGGCCGGAGGAAACAGGGGAAGGGGAGAGGGCGGGGGAGAAGGAGAAGCGGAGAAAGGGGAGAAGGGGGGAAGGAACGACCCCCACTCCCCCCGGGCGTGCGGCCCCCCAGGGGGTGGTTTGTGACTGGAGCCCGATGGCTGCCAGCCACAAAAACGGAGACCGCATGGACCCCGATCGGGACAATGACCACAGTGAGAAGCTATATGCACCACTCGCCTCGCCCAGCGTGCTGGCAACTAACTGTTCGTCGCAAGCCTGTCCTACGAACGTGGCCGAAACGCCGGCCAGGGAGAAGGGCAAAAAAAAAGCGGGCGCCGGCTGCGGCGGACAAATCCTGCCCCCCTTGGACAGACAGACGCGGCCCGGACGCGGCTTGCGACGATCCTCGGTGCCAACCAAGGCGACGATCCTCGGTGCCAACCAAGGCGGCCGCAGGTGGCCCGCCCCGAACTCGGCAAGCGCGCGGCAAACCGTGGCGTGCTCCACTGAGTCCCCGTCCTCGAGGCCGCAGAACAGGCATGCTCCGCGCCCGCCGAAGCGCCTTGCAGTGCACCACCCCGACCAGAGCGTGCGCCACACTGCCGCTGCGACTCGGGGAGGAACAAGGGATGCGAGCCGGTGCAAGACGGTCGTCGCCCGCTGTGCTCGCAGCCTGTTCTTGTGAGCCACCGAACTCTCGAGGCCAGGATCGACGACCTCGCGGGGGCCGCCGGCGCCCAAGCAGCGCTCGAGCCCCTGCCACTTCGGCCGCGAAGGATCGCCCTTGTGGGCCTCGATGATCTGAGCTGCCTTCCTGCGCAGCGCGTCGATCGACGCGAGCGAGGCTACGTTGAGCTGGTCGTAGCTGCCTCCATACTGCGCGGCCGCAAGGAGGGCGGTCACCTCGATGGCAGCGCGCTCGTTCTGCCCGACACCCCCCCTTCTCGCGAGGCCAAACTGCCAGCCGCGAGAGGGGGTCGCCACCTGCTCGGTCGAACCTCTTCGCAACGCGCAGGGTCTGGGAGCGCCGATCGTCGAACGGCCAATCGGGGGAGGAATGGGGGCGCAGCTCTCTCGCAACGGACCTCCGGGGCTCGCGCCGCCCGCCGCTCTCGGCAGTCACGATCCACAGCGTCCTCGCCTCGTCGGTCTGCTCCTTCACCTCGCCCTTCTCCTGGTGCTCGGCTAAGGCGTCGGGCCTCTAGCCAATCTCAGCCAAGCCCTCGGGGGCCTTGTCATCAGCGCCGCGGCGGTCATCAACCCAGTCGCCCTCCCATACCTTGTCAGCAGCGCCGCGGCGGTCATCAACCCAGTCCTCGAACGACTTGGCCCGATAGAAATTGCGCGCCCCCCTTCACAAAATCCGCGCGCTCTTCGGGGCTGATGGCATCCACCCGAGTCCAACGATCGTTCAGCCTCACCACTGCATTGCGGTCGCCCATCCTGATGTCGTGTCGAGTCAACTGCACAACTCGTCCAAGATGAGGAACCTCCGCAAACGCCCAATCAAGACCATCAGGGGGGCAGAGCTCGTTCCTCGGGGTATCCGCCCCCTCCACGGGCGGGGGCCCCTGGGAAAGCGGCAGCGGCGGCTGCTTCTGGGCAGCGAAAGCCAGCCGCTGAACGGCGGAGCTGGACGGCCTGATCATCCCCTCGTCCAGGTAGTGGGTCGGGCCCATCAGCACCTCGCCCGCCTCCGTGAGCTCAGCGCGAGTCTCGCGGATCAGCTTCCTCAGCTGGATGCCGCTTATCGGCTCGGACAGCTGGCAGAACGTCCCTCGCTTCACCGGGGCCCGGCTTCCCCCGCGATCGTCGCGGAACGCCCGCGAATAGCCGCCAGGGTCCTGGCACGCAATGTGATCGGGCGTGCAGTCCCCATCCGGCGACAGGGTGCACCGCACATACGGCGAGACCAAGCATCAAAGCACGATGGTGCCACGCGCATCATCGTCATCGCACCACACGGCGACGCTGTCACCAGGCAGCACTACACTGCAAAACGCCTGCACCCCGACGGCGGTGCCGCCCGCCAGGCGCAGCACGGGCCACCTCCACTTGTGCGGGATCTCCTCGGCAGCGACAACAGCCACTGGGGCGGCGGCACACCAGGCGGCCCACGGCGCTCTCGATCACGCCCACGGCCGCGACGGCCCACACTCCTTCAGCTCGTCGCCCACTGCAGGCGGCGGCCTGGCGACCGCCGCGCTCGCCGCCTTCGGAGGTGGCCCCTCCAGCGGACAAACGGGCCCGCTCGACAGTGCCTCGACGCTGACGCTCAGGTTCTGCACGGCCTGCTCGGCCCTCGTCAGCCGCTCGCCCACGGAGTCGAGCTCAGCCTCCAGCGGCGCCAGGTCGGCTGGCGCCTGGCGGCGCCAGGTCGGCGCACAGGGCAAACCGGGTGCGGCGGGCTCTGCGCCAGGAAGCCAAGCGAGGAGGCAGATCGAAGGCAGGATCGATCCTCCGCGGACGGCGAGAGCGGTCGTGCTGCTCATGCCTCAAACAAGTGAGCAGATTTGCCCACGGACGGTCGCAACCATAATGTGCAGAGCGCTGCCATCGGGGGACTCTTGGGGCCTCCTGGGGGCCTCTTGGAGCGGAAAGCCGGGACTATTGATTTGCATTCCAGCTGTTCTGGGCGTTTTTTCGGGCCATCCTAGGGTTGTCTTGGGCTGCCTCAGGGCGCTCTTGGGCCGTCTTGGGGCCTTCTTGGCCCGTCTTGGAGCGTTGGAAGCTCGAAAACGCGAGAAGGCTAAAACCCCCGCTAAAAAACAAAGAAACTCAACGTTTTTAGCCTCTTCGGACGTTCCCGATCAGAGCCGCCAGCAATCTGTCTTGGGCTGCTTGGGAGCGTCTTGGGCCGTCCTTTCGCCTTCTGGGGGTTGGGGTTCCCCGAGGGCGTCGTGGGCCGTCCTGGAGCGTTCTAGGGCCTCCCTGGGAGGCCGGGGGCGCGGTGCCGAGAGTTGCCCCTAGATATCACGGAGGTGGGGGAGGCTCCCGGGGGGGGGGGGGCGTATTCCCTTTTCTATATTTTTATAATCCTGGGGGGTGGGACCCCCCCCCCCCCGAAATAGGATCCTCCCCAACCGGGACTTCCGGAAACGGGACCCCTCACGAGGATCGCAGCCTCCGAGCGCGAAAATTAGCGCTCTCCGTCCAAAGAGGAAGGTGAGAGGACACGCGAGGCTCCTTGGACCTCCCGAGAGGCTTTCTCGAGGCTCCTACGAAGGCCCAAGAGGGTCCCAAGAGCCTTCCAGAGTCCTCCGAAGAAGCCCCCGAGAGATGAAAATCAGTGATTTCCTATGGTTTTTCTAAGATTTTTGCTTCTTTGCATGTTCACTGTTCCGACGTGCCAAGACGGCCGAAGACGCCCACAAGACCGATGCCAGACGGCTCAAGAGGCCTCCAAGCGAGTCCGAAACCGGCCCAAGACAGCCCCGACACGGCCCAAGGGGTGCCCAAGACGGCCCCAGAGAGCCCCAAGACGGCCTTCAGAAACGGCACCCCTCACGAGGATCGCAGCCTTCCAGCGCGAAACTGAGCGATATTCGTCCGAAGAGGCACCTACGAGGGTACGCGAGGGTCCTCGGGTTGCCTTAAAAGCTTCTTAAAGGTTCCCCCGACAGCTTGAGAAGGCCCCACGAACCTCGCAGAGTTCTCTGAAGAAGGCCCCAAGAGATCAAAATCATTAATTTCCGATGGCTTTCCTAAGATTTTGGCTTCGTTGCATGTTCACTGTTCCGACGTGCCAAGACGGCCGAAGACGCCCACAAGACCAATCCCAGAGGGCCCAAGCAGCCTCCAAGCGAGTCCACAGCCGGCCCAACAGAGCCTCCAGACGGCCCAAGCCGTGCCCAAGACGGCCCCAGAGAGCCCCAAGACAAGCTTCAGAGAGAGCTTAAAAGGGAAAAACATACAATTGCAACGCGCTCGGCTCCCACACGGCCACGCGAGGCCCCAAGCCCCTTCCAGGAGGCCACAAGAAGGGCCACAAGGCGCGCAAAAGGCTTATGATTTCAAGGACTCTGCACCCAGACGCCCACACGAAGCTCCAAGACTCCTCAACGGCTCCCCAGACGTGCCACGAGGCGCCCAAGAGCCGCCAAGAAGCATTCACGAAGTTCCCCCACGACGCCCCACAAGGCCTCTAAGAACCTCCACGAGTTCTCCGAAGAAGGCCTTTATAATCCTGGGGGGTGGGACCCCCCCCCCCCGAAATAGGATCCTCCCCAACCGGGACTTCCGGAAACGGGACCCCTCACGAGGATCGCAGCCTCCGAGCGCGAAAATTAGCGCTCTCCGTCCAAAGAGGAAGGTGAGAACGAAGCCCATACATAACGTTCGTAGAGCCTGCCTGTCCCAAAGTCGCGTCAGCACGCCTCCCCGCGCCCCCCCTGCCTCATATTTTGCAGTATAAAGCTGCATTCTGGTCAGAATCCTGGGTTCGCACCCTTTTTTAAAAGAAATTTGGTTGCGAACCCGGGATTCGATAAGTTTCCCTCTGAAGTCCTTTTCTTGCATTTCATTTGCCCCTTTCGTTGCTTCGAACACCAAGTTCTCCCACTCCCCCTCCGCAACCTCTGCACATTCGCAATGCGAGCCCGCGAGGACCCCTCGAAGGGACCGCAGGATACCGCGATAAGCCAGCCGATCCAAAGCTTCAAGGAACAAGATGCATGGCGCGAAGCGCCTATGCAGCCTTGTATATATATTTATATATATAAATATATATATATGTATGTACAGATATATATATATATATATATATATATATATATATATATATATACATATACATGTATATATACAAGAGTTTACCGGCTCGCTTCGCTTTTAAAATCTTGGTCGCATGGCGCCAGAGAGGCGCGATGGGACCGGCAGTCGTCACTGCCGCGGTGCGATTCGGGAAGTGGTCATGGGTGTCATAGGACTCATTGGAATTGTAGGGCTCCTGGGGTTCCGTGAGGTAATCGGCTCTTGGGAATCATCGGGCTCGTAAGGTCCGTGAGGCTCATAGGGCTCATAGGGCTCATAGGGCTCATTGGGTCTCATGGGGCCACATGGATCGCAGGGCTCGTCAGGCTCACAGGGGTCGTAGGGCTCATATGGCTCACAGGGCTCCCAGTGCTCATAGGGCTCATGGGGCTCATGGTCCCATAGGGCTCGTAGGACTCGCAGGGCTTCCAGGGCTCATAGGGCTCACAGGGCTCATAGGGCTCACAGGGCTCATTGGGCTCATAGGTCTCATGGTGCCCGCGGGGCCCATAGTGCTCATAGGGCTCCTGGAGCTCGTTGGGCTCATAGGACTCCTACGGCCCGTAGGGCTCATAGGGCTCATCAGGTTCATGAGGCCCATGCGGCTCACAGCAGTCAAAAGGCTCATAAGGCCTATAGGGTCATAGGGCTCATAGGGCTCATAAGGCAAAGGGTTCTCATAGGGCTCACATGGCTCATGTGGCCCATGAAGCTCGTAGAGCCCTCCGGGCCCGTAGGGCTCATTGGGCTCGTGAGGCTCATAGGAATCGTACGGCCCATATGGTTCATAGGGCTCATGGTGCCCGTAGGGCTCGTAGTGCTCATGGGGCTCCTGGGGCTCATAGGGCTCATACGGCCCGTAGGGCTCACAGGGCTCATTGTGCCCGCGGGGCTCATAGTGCTCATAGGGCTCGTAGGGCTCACACGGCCTGCAGGGCCCATGGGGCTCATAGGGCTCATGGTGCCCGCAGGGCTCGTAGTACTCATTGGGCTCCTGGGGCTCATAAGGCTCATAAGGCTTATACGGCCTGTAGGGCCCATAGGGCTCATGGGGCTCAAAGGCCATACATGGCTCGTAGGGGGTCGTAGGGCCCGCGGGGGCCGTAGGGCTCATATGGGTCATGGTGCCCGTAGGGCTCATAGTGCTCATGGGGCTCCTGTGGTTCATGGGGCTCATATCGCCCGGGAGCCCGTAGGGCTCATAGGGCTCATGGTGCCCGCAGGGCTCACAGTGCTCATAGGGCTCCTGGGGCTCATAGGGCTCATACGGCGTGTAGGGCTCATAGGGCTCATAGGGCTCAAAGGCCATACGTGCTCGTAAGGTGTCGTGGGGCCCGGGCTCGTGAGGCTCACGTGGGTCGTAGGGCTCGTAGGGCTCATTGGGCTCATAGTTGTAGGGCTCGTAAGGCTCGCAGGGGTCGTAGGGCTTGTAGGGGTCGTCGGGCTGGTAGGGCTCATAAGGCTCTTAGGGCTCATGGGGCTCGTAGGGGTGATGGAGCTCGGAGGTGTCATAGGGCTCATGGGGCTCATAGGGCTCGTGTAGGGCTCATAGGGCCCGTAGGGATGGTAGGGCTCACAGGGATCATGGGGCCTGTAGGGCTTACAGGGGTCACGGAGCTCATATGGCTTACAGGGCGCATAGGGGTCGGAGGTCTCACGGGGCTCGGAGGTGTCATAGGGCTCATGGGGCTTAGAGGGCTCGTAGGGCTCGTAGGTCTCGTAGGGCTCACAGGGAGCGTAGGGCTGATGGGGCGTGTAGGGCTCACAGGACTCACGGCCGTCATGAAACTCTGTGAGGTGTTGTTGTGGCCTCCTGTGGCCGTCTTGGGGGGCTTTTGGGAGCCGTTGGGGACACTGACGGCTCTTTGTTGGGCCGTCTTGGGGCTCTCGTGGGCCGTGCGGAAGTGCTTTGGGCTGGGTAGGGGACCTCATTGAAGCATCTGTGTGGCCTCCCGTCGGGGCCAGAAATATTTATCTTTCACTGGTTGTTTGGGTTTTCGATCGCAGACGCTTAATTGAATTATTACACGGCGCGCTCTTCGTTTCGCTGCCCGCTGCCTCCTTGGAACGCGTTAGCCAAGCGAGCGCGGCCATCGCAAGATGCTGCTGGGCTCCTCGAGAACGACGCGCGCGCTGTAGATGCATTTTCGTTTGCTGATGGAAAGCGACGTGATGCGCGATGCAACGGCCCTTCGGTTGGTTCGAGCGGCCTCCGAACAGACATTGAGGCCGCATGTGCCTATATAGCCGCGGCTTGATCCCGTTCAATCAGCGCGTATTTCAAGGCTGCCCGAGAGTGTCGACGGGAATCTTCATGCCCAAACGAATATGTGCACCGTTAAATCTCATCAGGCCTCAGGCGCCGGACTGCGCGCGCCGCGCCGCAGATCGGTGCGCGCGCGCAAGCGAGGACGCGGCCCTGCGTCGATCGGCCCGCCGCCTCAGGGCGCGCGCGGCGTCCGCCCCTGGAACCCCCGCCAGGCCGGATCGGTGAAATGAAAGATTTTGTTGTTCTGGGTGGGCCAACACCGCAAAATCTTTCACTTCACCGGTCGCGGGTCTGGGTTGCGTCCTTGTCGGGGGCGGATGCGAGTGGTTTCTTGCGTGCTTCTGCTGGGGGTTCGCTCTAGGGCGTATCGGGCGTCTCTCGGGGCCTGTCGCGCTCTTCCTCGGGTTCTCCTACTGGCTCTCCCGAGGACCACGTGGAGCTATTGGGCCCACTTGGGTCGATGAGGAAGCTCGTGGAGACGTCTCGGCGACGGATTGGGGATCTGGGTTTCACTAGACGCCCAGGGCCCAGGGTCGTTTCTCGGCGCGTTCAGGCCGACGGGGAAGCCCCCGCAATCCCTGGCCGCCCAGAGAGCGCCACTGGCGCCTGAAGGGTTTCCTGCAGGCGGCGGGTCATGGTGTCCAATTGTCGTGCGACGCCGTGCTGGGCGCTCCTTCAAATCGCAAGCTCGGTCGATTCGCACAGTCGGCGTCGCGTCGCGCAGATGTCGGCCTCATCGCGATCAGCGATCATTTGGGCATGAGGGCCAGTAAATTTAAATCTACAGGCCGACCAGTGAAAGATAATCATTTCTGGCCCCTATCCCGGGGGGGGGGGCTCTTGAGCTCATTTGTTGGGCTGGGAAGGCGTCGTCGAGGTCTCTTGGGGCTCTCTGGGACCCTCGGAGGGCTCTTTGGGGGGCCCCTCGGCGGCTCTGGGGCCATATTTGGGGGAAGAGCTCGAAAGGTCAGTTCCGTTGGTCCTTCTTGGGGCCATCTTGGGCCGTCTTGCGGGGCTTCTTGGGTGGTCTTGGGCCGTCTTAAAACCATCTTGGGGCCATCTTGGGGCCCTCTTGGGCCGTTGTGGGGCCCTCATGGGAACCACTTCCGGCGTCTTGGGGCAATCTTGGGGGCCTGTTTGACCGTCTTGCGTGGTCGAGAGGTCGAGAAAGCGAGCACGTTGAAAATCATGAAAAACCATAGGAAACTTACGAATTTTGGCTTCTGGGGCCCGCTTGGGGGTGACCTATGGGCTCTCGTGGGGCGTCTTGGGGGCATTTTGGGCCGTCCGGAGACCATCTTGGGCGTGTTGGAGCGGTCTTGGGCCGTTTCGGTGCTCCGCGGGACCGTCCAGGGAGCGATCTTGAGCTCGCCAGGGCGGCTTGGGATGACCGAGAGGGGCCTCCGGAACCGAATGCCCGAATTTCCCGCCGATGGGAGCGCCCAGGGCCGAATTTATGTACGGGGGGGGGACCCGCGGCTTTCCGATATAAGAATAGTCGAAGAGAGAGAGAGAGAGAGAGAGAGAGATACACAAACAAGACTGCATTGGCGCTGCGCGCCATGCACCTTGGTCCTTTAGAGTTTCGCACGTTAGCGGAGTGCGTGCGTGCGTACATCCGCACACACATGCGCCTATGGGAACATACTACATATGTTATATAAATATACGTATGCATGGGTTTGTACATGTATATGCAAATGGTCTGTGTAACTATGCGTGCGCATACACATGCGCATCTCAGGCGGAAGTGCCCCGCAGGAGCCCGCGACACCCCGAAGACGGCTCAAATGAGGTCTATGAGGGCTCCTCCGCTCCCTCCTCCTCATCATCATCGTCACCGCCGTTTGCGGCCTCTTCCTCGTTCTCGTCCTCATCCTTCTCATCCTCTTCCACCTCATTCTCATCAGCCTCATCATCATCAGCGCCAGCATCAGCATCGTCACCACCACCACCGCCACCACCGTCATCATCGTCACAACGATCATCATTAGCAGCACCATCTTCATCAACATCGTCGTCATCGTCATCATCAGCATCATCATCATCCTCAGCATAATCACCCACATCCCGTACACATTAACCTCATTAGCAGCAGCGTCGTCGTCGTCGTCGTCATAGCATCATCGTCATCATTACCACCACCATCGCCAGAACGAGCACGGTTACAATCACCATGATAATGCAAATGGCTCTCGTTCGCCACACTATCCATCCTCGTCCGACCCTCGCCATCGTCATCGCAATCATCGTCATCATCCAACCGTCGTCATCGTCAGCGTAAACATCATCATCATCCTCCTGATCATCGGTTCGAACAGTTACCGCCGAGAATGCGGGGCTGGCACGGCGGCGGGACTTGCCGCTGGCAGGTGGATATATATATATATATATATATATATATATATATATAGTAGCGTTGGCTGTGCCTCTGAGTGCCAATCAAGGAATGCAGTGGAAAGTGCAAATGATCGGATTATGAGAACGGAATCAGTATGCGTGAATCTCGGCATGTGACGAACGCAAATGCATGTGTCGTTTTGAGGGCTCAGTCAGCACCTCATGCAAGAGAAAGAAGAAGAGTATACAGGGCGATCGGCATGCCCAGGAAGCAAACCCGCCTTTTATATTGAACATTATACCATAGCATCGTGCGAATAAGTCGCCGGCCCAACGGGCCAGAGGCGTGCTAAGATCTCCGGCGGCTGCTTTACAATATTTCTGATTCGCGCGCGCGGGGCAGCCCCTGGGGGTTCCCGGGCCAGAAGTACCCCAGACGCGGCTCGAGAGCTGTCCGAGAGCTGCCCGAGAGCTGCCCGAGACACCCCCCCAGGGCCCTCAGGATCGCCCCAAGGGGGCGCCAAGAGGCCCTCAAGACGGTCCAAGACGGGCCCCAGACGCCCGAAGACCGCTCCACGACGCCCAAGATGCCCTCCAGACGGCCCAGGAGGCGTCCAAGATGGCCCAAGATGCCCTCCAGACGGCCCAGGAGGCGTCCAAGATGGCCCAAGAGGCTTCCAAGAGGCTTCCAAGAGGCTTCCAAGAGGACAACGGGAAAGAGAAGGAGGGAGACGGAGAAAAGAATGATGGAGGAAAAGAAATATTGGAAGGCTTCTGGGGGCGCCATTGAAGCTCAGTGTTGGGAGCCCTGGTGTTATGTAGCGTTTTGGGGCCTCTTGGGAGTCTTCTTGGGGCCCTTTTGGATCCCTTTTAGGGCCCTCTTGGGGTTCTCTTGGGTCGTCTCGGGGCCCTTTTGGGCCGTCTGGGGGCGTCTTGGAGGCCTTTGGCCGTCGTGGGGCTCTCCTGGCGGCGTCTTGGGGCCCTCTTGGGTGCCTCTTTGGGCGCTCTTGGGGCTCTCTTGGGCCCGTCTTGGAGCCCTCTTGGGCTGTCTTGGGATTCTCTTGGATTGTTTTCGGGCTCTTTGGGGGGCCTCTTGGGCTATCTTGGGGCGATCTTTGGAGCCTCTTGGGCCGGTTCGGGCTGATGTTGGCCCGAACAAGGGAGAACCAGGAAAACCTCTAAAAACCATACAAAAATCAATGAACTGTCCCCCTTGGGGCCCTCTTGGGAAGCCTCTTGGAGGCCTCTTGGTGCGTCTCGGGGCCCCCTTGGACGGTCTTGGGCGGTCTTGGGGTCTCTTGGAGCGCTCGTGGGCTGTCTTGGAGCGCTCGTGGACCCCTCTTGGGAGTATCTCGGGCCGTCTGGGGCGCCTCTGGGACCGCCCGACAATCTCGGGGAAGCCCGAAACTCGTTTGGGAGGGGGGGGGGCTCCGTCCGGGGTCTGTCCGGGGTCCCCGGCCCTAGAAAAGCATATAAATAGGAATATCTATATATATATGATATATATGTGTATATGTGTATGTATGTGTATGTATGTGTATGTATGTATGTATGTATGTATGTATGTATGTATGTATGTATGTATGTATGTATGTATGTATGTATGTATGTATGTATGTATGTATGTATGTTTGTATGTATGTAGGTAGGTAGGTAGGTAGGTAGGTAGGTATGTATGTATGCATATATATATATATATATATGTGTGTGTTCAAATTCCTGAGTTCATAGATTCTCCATGTCTTTCATTCTCTCGTCTGTCCCTCCGCCTCCACTGTTTTCCCACATGCTCTCCTGGGCTCCGACGCTCGTGCATGCCCGTGCCTACACTAGCTTGCCCCCTGGTCGCTCGTGCGCGCGAGGCGCCCCCAGGCGCGCCGTGGAGCCCACCACCTAGTTCGCGGGCTTCCTCCGCCACTGCGACGCCACCTTCCCCGACGCCACGCGGGCCGCGGGCCCCGGCGGCACGGGCTGCTCGGGCTCGACGGGCTCCTCTGGGTCCAGTGGTGCGCCCTCCTCGGGGCCGCCGCCGCCGCGGGCCGCCGCCGCCGCCACAAGCCCGGGGGCCGCCGCCGTCGCGGCTCGGCGCTGCCGCGGGACGCCGTCGCCGCCGTCGATGCAGCGCTCAAGGTTCTGGGCGTTCTCGGACGTCCTGGGCAATCGTTGGGCCCTCTGCGAGGGAGAGGGCCTGCGGCCGCGAACGGCCACATCAGCACTGGCGCGCGGCCAAGCCTCGGGAGGCGAGGCGCAGCCAGGGTCGCGCGCTGCTGCATACGCGGGGCGACCAATGATGGGGAGAGGAAGACACGCGTACCGGTCGGGCCCCCTATTATTTGGGGCCCCAGGGGGCCCCTGTAGGACCCCGTTTAGACCACGGGAGGTGCACCTTTCTTCACCGCCACATTGATCGCCCCCCCATTACGGGAGGCGGAGGAGGAAGAGGAGGAGGAGGAGGAGGAGGAGGAGGAGGAGGAGGAGGAGGAGGGGGAGGAGGAGGAGGAGGAGGGGGAGGAGGAGGCGGAGGCCAAATATGGGCCTGCTCTGGGACGGGGAGGGCAGCCTTGGTGAAATGGCCTCCCCGGCGGCCGCCTCCCCAGGCCCTGGGTCAACCCCTGCTGGCCCCTCCCGCTCGCTGCCGCCGCTAGCCTGGCGAGCTGCCGCCAGCTTCCCCCGGCGGGCCCACGGGCCATGCCACAGTCGGGGCGTTGACCTAAGGAACCCTAAATAAGGAACGAGGGCCCTCTTTTCCATAAGTTAACCTTCGATTTCCTGTTGAAAACATAAGGAAAGCCTGAGGCAAACTGTGAAACACTTAAGGAACGCGGAGCCCTTCCCCAACGAAAAGGGTTCCTTCTTCAGGGCCCCGACTGTACTTCCTTGACGCGCACTACCCCCAAGGATCATTCGGCTCAGGAGGTCTCGTGTGGGGCTCTAGCCTGCCGTGATCACGGCGCTGGTATAGGCACGATGCTCAACCAGAAGCCTGACGAAGAGCGAGCGCAAAGGCAGGTGGGCATCTTCGGCGACTCTGAGCTCCGTAAGGTGCCCCAAGGCTATGCGGGCCCATCGGGGGATAAGAAGATCTCGTGGGGCACACTCGCAAGCCCACAGAAGACCTCGTGGGGTCGGACTAGATGGGGTCGGAAGATCGCGCCGCATCGCCGATGCATCACCAATGAATTGGCAATACATCGGCAACGTCGGCGATGCATCGGCGACGTTGGCGTGGAGAACATATGTCCCCACATATGTCCCCACATCGAACCGCATCGCAGATGCATCGGCGATGCGGCGCGATCCCCCGACCCCATCTACTCGGATCCCATCTGGGCGACGACAAGAAATAGGTCTTACGCGAGACGACAGAGCGACCTTGCGCAGCGGCTTGCGCGGGCCGCCAGCCCGGCACGCTACCGAGGGCAGCTTCTGCGCGACCTTGCGCGGGCAGCTTTACGCGCGCGCGTCGGCGCAGGCGACCCTGCTTTCTTGCGTCGCTCATCTTCGGAGGCAACTCACAGGTATCCTCCCGTACCATCTTGTCGGCTCTTGCGAATCGACGCTAAATCGACGCTAATCGCGCTAGTCGACGCTAATCGACCGTAGTCGACGCTAGCCAACGCTAAATCCGTGCTATCTCATCGACACCCAGACGCTCGTCGACGCCAAGAGGACGGAATTACGAGGGCACACAAGGCTCCCATGATTCTCGGGCCGGGCGCAAGGGGGGGATAGCAAAGGGGGGGGGGAGAATCAGCTCACGTAGCTGATTCTCCCGGCGCCCCCCAGCGCCGAAAGGCGGCCATGTATCGAGGAATGGCCCCCTCGGTGGGGCCGAAACCAGCTGCCTGCAGCAGACTTCGCAACCCCCCCTTTCCCTATCCCCCCCCCCTTTCGTTCGGGAGCGGCCAAGAGGGGGGCGTCCAAGAAGGGCGGGGTGCAAATCATGGCCGGCGGCATGTGCGCGGCCCAGGGGGGGGGGCCAGGGACGTAATGAAACAAGAAGAGGCGCCATGAAATCTGGGGAAATATCATGGCCCACGCCATGATATCCACCACCCCCTAGTCCTCACCCCCCTCTTTGCCGCCCCCGATGACACGATGGGCTCGGGACCTCTGGCGTGGGACAAGCGAGGCCGGTGAAGTGGCACTCGAAGGTGGTCCATACGGGCTGCTGCATGGGGTCTGCGTTGCCCCTCCTTGCCCCCCCCGATTCGTTCGGCCCGAGATTTGCTGCCGAGCTCACCCGGGAGGCCTGGAGTGCCTGAGCCCTGGCGGCACACGCACGGAGACCGTCACAGCCCGAGGGGCGCCTCCTCCTCGGCCCCCCCCGGCCCTTCTCCGCGCCCCGGCGGCGCCTCCTCCTCCTCCTCCTCCTCCTCCTCCTCCTCCTCCTCCTGCTCCTCCTCCTCCTTCTCCTCCCCCCCCTCCTCCTCCTCCTCCTCCTCCTCCTCCGCCTCCTCCTCCTCCCGCTCGTGCCCACTGCCGCCCCCAGAAAGTGCCCCGGCGTCGCTCGACCGCCGCCTGCCTGCCCTGCGCCCGCTGACCACAGGTGTATGCTCCACGGCCTCGGAGCTTTTGCCCGCCCCACGCATGGCAGCGGAGGCCAGTCCGCAAGAAACCTCCGACGAGAACCTACGGTGGGCCCCAGGACGTCAGGACGTCCAGGCCTGAGACCCCAGGACGTCCACAATAAACCCGCAGTAAGGACGTCCCCAGGAGACCAGGGACCCCAGGACGTCCCTAGGTAAGTCCACAATAAGCCCGGAGACCCCAGGACGTCCATCGGATGTTGGGCGTGGGCGGGAACGTCACGCTGTCCCAGCGCAGGAACATCGAAACCCAGGAACCCTGGGGCACCCTGGAGGCAAGCAGGGTGCTTCTTGCCATGGGGGCCCCTCTTTGGACCCCGCCCGGCCTGGGCGAAGCGAGAAGGGCCGGGGCATGCCCAGGGCATCCCTCCGACATGCCTTGGTTTAAGTCGGGCCTGTCCCTCTGCAGGGGGAATCTTCAAAAATAGAGAAAAAAGAATGGGGACTGTACTTTTGAACAGGATTTTTTGACCATGTTGGAGCATGCTTTGAATATTTGTTAGTTTTCGTCGAGAATCCCCCTGTGGAGCGACACGCCCGACTCAAGCCTCGGTGCTGGCTCGCCACCGCGTGTCGGCCGGCTGTCAACGGCACGGCGTGAGCACCTTGCGCGCACCCCGGCCTCGGAGACGCCGCCCGCCCACCGAGCGAAGGGCAGCGCTCCTCCATGCGGGCCAGCCGATCGCGCGTGGCCCGCAGCTCGTCCTCGGCCAGGGCCAGCAGGCCCTCCGCGGCAGGCACGCCCCACCCCGGCCCGCCACGGGTCGTCGTCGTCGTCGTCGTCGTCGTCGTCGCCGTCGTCGTCGTCGTCGTCGTCGTCGTCGTCGTCGTCGTCGTCGTCGTCGTCGTCGTCGTCGTCGTCGTCGTCGGCGTCGGCGTCGGCGTCGGCGTCGGCGTCGGCGTCGGCGTCGGCGTCGGCGTCGGCGTCGGCGTCGGCGTCGGCGTCGGCGTCGGCGTCGGCGTCGTCGTCGTCGTCGTCGTCGTCGTCGTCCTCGTCGTCGTCGTCGCTGGCGTCGTCGTCGCTGGCGTCGTCATCGTCAGCGTCGGCGTCGTCGCCGTCGTCGTCGTCGCCAGCGTCGTCGTCGTCATCGACAATTCGTTGAGCCTCTGGAGGGCCTCAAGGGAGCTCTGGAGACCTCTGGGGGGTCGTCGCCATCGTCGCCGTCGCCGCGGCCTCCTCTGCAAGCCGGTTTCTAACCCTGGGACGGTCGAAAATCGATCCGGGATGCGAAACCCTACCATTGTCGACACCCGACACGACCCCAGAAAGGGAAATCCGCTGACCCTTCGGCGTGTGGCAGACGCTGTCGTCGTCGTCGTCGTCGTCGACGTCGTCGTCGTCGTCGTCGTCGTCGTTGCCAGCGTCGCCCTCGACGTCGCCGTTGTCGTCCTCGCGTCGACCTCATCGTCGTCGTCGTCGTCGTCGTCGTCGTCGTCGTCGTCGTCGTCGTCGTCGTCGTCGTCGTCGTCGTCGTCGTCAGTCCTAAGGAAATGGAGGAATAAGGAAAGAAACGTCGTAGCTGAGTCGATTCCCTTCGCTTTATCCGTTCCCTGCAGGGGGCGGTCCTGGGGGGGGGGGGGGCGGTCCTGGGGGGGTTGGGAGGGGGGGGAGGGGGGCAGGTGAAGGAGGGTCGTGGTGGGGGGTTCCCAGGTCAAAGTACTGCTCCTCCCCAATGTCCCGGCGGGTCCGGGGGTGGTCGTCAGCAGGGGTCCCGGGGGATGTGCCGCCTTCAGGGTCGGCGGCACCGACTGTAAGGCCTTCGCAATAGAACTAGCCATAATTTGGGCAGTGGGCAGTGGCAATGCTGACGAGCTTCATGGTGAAGATACCGTGCCGAGGGCTGTGCTATGCTGTTCTGCGGTCTACCGTTCTGTGCCGTCCTGTGCTGAGCCGTGCGGTTTTGTGGGTGAAAAATAAGACAAGGCGGAACGCTACCCAAGTACTGGATTACTGCGGAAAGCTTCCATATTGTGTTGAACTGTGCTGTGACCCATTGCGTCGTGAATTCAATCGTCCTTGGCGTCCGAATCCTGGCCGATCTGATCTGGATTTGGCGCTCGAGATGTCTGAACGCATGGATCGCCCAGAGCTGGATGTAATGGAAACATACGGGGCGCTCAACCAGCTAGAGCTCAAGATCCGATTCAGTTCCGAAGCAAGGCGAATTCGCGAGGGGCGCAGGGCGCAAGTACGCGCCACGGGACGTGCCAGGGGCGCGCCAGTGGATGCGCAAGGGGACGCCTCGGTCGGGAAGTGAACCCACTTTCCAAGACCCAGAAGCCCGAAGAAACGAAACCTGGAACCGCCCCACCCCGGGAACCTGGAACCGCCCCAGGAGAATTCCGGAGCCGTCCCCGAGAACACAAGCCTAGACTTCTCCAGGCCCAGGGCCGGAATTCCAGGCATCCGCTGGGGCCCTCTGAAGATGAACTTGGAGCCCGCCTCGGCCTTATTCCTCATTGGCTCCTGTCGGCAAGCCCTCGGCGGGTCCAGGAGGCGCTACACCTAAGCGTCGGTTGAGTATGTGGCGAGATCTTTTCTTCGGATGCCTGCCTTGAGCCATATCAGCAATGGCACGATATCTCACAGTAAACCTGCTGGGGGTCTCTGGATTCCTGCAGCCCCAGTCGTGCCGCCCAGCTCTTCTGCCAGGCACGATACTCGAATCCTGAAAAGCTCCGAAACTCATTGTCAACGCACAGCGCTCTGGACCACGGCGTTGGTCGAGCACTGCAATCAAAGTACACGCAATAGCCGCGCTGACGGCCGTAGCCCGTCCAAGGCAATGACAGCGCGGAGCGAAAGACTGCAGGCCGAAATGGCCAGGCCAAAATGGCCGCTCGCGCCTCTGGTTCAGACCTTCGCCTGAAGGGCACTCGAGAGGGGCGCGTCCGAGAGCTCGACATTCATCATCTTCAGTCCTCGGAGCATCGCCGCCTGGTCGAGGAACTTCGCCCCCAGGTCCGCCGGGTTCGACTTCCCGGGAACCTTGGCCAGCTGAAACCGTCCGTCCTTGAGCGCCTTCTGCACCCGCAGCGCCGGCGTCTCGAGGTGTCGGACTTTGCCGCAGCCTCGTCGTTGCATGATGCCAAGAGCAGCTGCCGAGTCGCTCCAGATGCGAAGGCTCACGTCCCTGCCTAGGCCCTGGCACAGTGACTGCATGCCGATGGCCCTGCTGGCCGCTCGCACACAGCCGTAGAACTCAGCCTCCCCCGAACTCATGGAGATGGGGATCTGAGTCGTCGATGCCGTCACGATCAGGTGCTGCCCATGTTTGATCGCGACTGAACTGGTGCTCCTCCGCGTGATCGGGCAGCCTGCCCAGTCGGTGTCCGAGTAGATGTCCATCACTGTGGGTGCCCGCTGTCGGCCCCACTTCCAGATGGCCCGCGGCGCCCCAATCAAGAAGCGTCCAGCGCGCTTCAGGAGGCGGAGGTGTCGCTCTGTCGGCTTCTGCATGCCGCGAGCGCACTCCTTGGCCGTGAACTGCACCTCTGGCCGGTCGAGCGCCAAGTAGCCCAGCCTCATGCACGCACTGCGGTACTCTGCCGCCTCGTGCTCGTTCAGCTCGCGGTCGACCTCAGGTGTAAGCTTCTGGCTCAGCCCTGGCGTGCTCAATGACTTCGTGGTGCGGGGGGTCCATTCCAAGCTGTGCGTGCAAGATCTGCGCGTGCCTGGGATCCGCCTCGTACTCGATGGCCTCGCCCCCTTGGCACCATCGGTCCCGCCAGCGCACGACCCTGTTGAGGCACGTGATCTCCTTTGCGTCGGTAGGCGCCGGCCCGAGCACGCCCCTGTCCTTCGCGATGAACTTCGTCTTCAGGGCCTCGCAGATCGACTCCGTCCCGCCCCGAGAACCCTCGAGAACGAAGTCGTCGCCGTGGTGGAAGAAGCTCACCTGAAGGTCCTTGTGGCAGCACACGCAAGGCGAGAAGGCCGACTGGTCACAGCCAGCACCGATGACCGTCTCGGCAGTCGCGAGCTCGAAGTTCTGGCCAGCGTCGCGCGTCCCGTAGAGCGCCATCCGCAAGAGCCCACACGTACCGATCTCCTGCGACATCGGATCCTCCTCTGGAAGCTTGATGTAGACTGTCCTCTTGATCTCGCAGTGCGGGTGTGCCCGCGAGATGTCCAGGAAGCGCGGCACGCGGCCCTCGGACGGGTCGCTCGACATCACCATGCTGCAGATGAGCCGAAGGCACTCTAGCGGCGGGGTCGCCGCAAACACCGCGCCGATGTCGTCCCCGGCGATGGTGCTCTGCGCCTTGGTCTCCTGCACGACGAGCCTGGATCTGTAGTCCGGCCGGTCGGTGTCGCCCTTGTCGATATCGACCCAGCGCACACTGAGAGGCCTCCGTCCAAGCTCGCGCTGACAGTCCTCCTCCCTCGCGTAGACCCACACGCCAAGCTGCGCCATGAAATCCATCTCCAGGCGCCTCGCGGCCTTCACCAGCGTGGGGTCCAGCGGGAGGCCGGTGAGGTCGTCGTAGAACTCGGTCCTCAGCGTGTCGCGCCACTTCCCGACGAAGTCCTTCAGGCTGATCTCCTCGTCGTCCACGTTCGGCCCAGCATCCAGGGCCGAAAGCGTGAGCACCTTCTTGTTCCTAAGGTGACGGCGGAGGCCACGGAGGATGGCGCGGAGGAGCTTGACCGGGCACCTCTCCGCCACACGCATGTTACGGCCGACGAAGGTGGAATGCTCGTGGCGGCTACCAATGCCAGTATCATTGGGGCAGCGCTTGCAGACCTCATCCAACACCTCCTTGTTATTACTCATCCATCCTGTCGGCTTCTTGGCGAGCCTGTCGCCGTGCGCGTCCGCAACCACCAGGCCGAATACGCACTGGTCGCCTCGCCCGACCTCGACGCCCGGGAGAGCCATCACATCCTTCACGATGTCCAGGCCCCAGCTGTCCGCGCTCCAGGGGTGCTCGTGCAAGAACGTGCGGTCGTGCTTCACCTGCAGCGTGTAGAGCTCCATCACGAACCTCAAGTGCTCGCACCCGACGGCGTAGGCCTCACGCTGCTTCTCCGTGTCCTCGTTCAGGTACTTCAGCATGGAGAACGGCGCGCAGCGAGGACTGCCCAAGAGGAGGTACACCTCGAAGTGCTCGATCAGCTCCCGGCACTGTCGCTGCTGCTGGCGGTCGGTCAGGTCCCAGCCAACCCTCAGGTCGAACGAGCCGCCGTGGACCAGACCGAAGAGTGGGGCAAAGCCCACAAGCCTACTCGGGCAAAAGACCTCCATCACGTCGGCCTTGCGCCCGCTGTAGCCGAGGCAGAGCAGGAGGGCACCGATCTCCTCCTGCATGTTGTCGTCGCCGGTGTCGTGTGGTGCCGGAGCCATCGCCACGTCAGCCGCCACCGCGGCCTCGGGTACTGGCGGCACCTGCTGAGCTGGGGCTGGGCCGCCACTGCCTGACGAGCCGCCCTCTTGATAGACAGGCCCGGCGACGTCAGTGCGATGCCGCTTCCGCTCACGGGCATCCTCGAGCCTCTGCTTTGCCACCTCGTCGTCCTGCATCGCCTGCTCGATCCGAGCGCGGCACTCGGCTGAGTGAGCCTGCGCCCGGGCGCCGTTGAGGATCGCGGCGCAGCCGTAGCAGCCCGGGGAGAGCCCGTACTTCGCGATCTCGACGTCCTTCCTGATGTAGACGGCCCGCGGTCCTGCCGGTGGTCGCCCGACTCGGAGAGCCCGGGGCGGGAGGTCCCCAGCCTCAGGGATGGGCGCCAGAGGTCCGCCCACAAGCGCGACCGGCGCTGGCGCCGGCGCTCGGATCTCGATGGCCACCGGCACTTCGTCCACCTCTACGTCCGTCGGCACCGGCGCCCACGGCTTCCCCACGAGGCTGTTCAGCAGGTCCTTATCGGCCCGCTGCTCGACCGTCAACCGCTTGAAGGTCCTGGCCCGTAGTGCGCCCAACTCCGTGCCAATGTAGACCTCGTCCGTCCGAAGCGTGGGCCCCAGGTAGAGCCCAGCGAGGAACTTGTCCTCGATCCCGGCCTTGCGCTTGCCCCCTGGGAGATACAGGACCTTCTCCGAGAAGCAAGCCAGGTCCTTGTTGAAGGGGCGGCCGTGACGAAGCTCCCAAGCCGCGCGGCCGTCAGCGCCCCGCCTGCCCAGGTTGATGGACATGGCTGCGAACTCGACCATCCACGGGGTCACTGGGTGCTCGACGCCAATGCCCACGCCGTGTAGGTCGTCCACCTGCGCCCGCACCGTCCTCACCTTGACCTTGACCTCGCGCACCGCGTGCTCGGCCAGGCCGTTGCCCTGAGAGTCGCCGACCGCGCTCTCCTCGGGCACCGTCTCGATGCCATACTCCTCCTTGAGCTTGGCCCCGATGCGGGTCTTCAGGGCGACGAGCGGCGCCTCGCCGTCTGGGCGGAAGACGAAGCGCTTGTGGCCAGCCGATGCCAGCCTCATGGACCACGACTTTGCCGGCCAGGGATGCTGCGTCCCCTTAGATGGAACCACCGACGCGTGGAACCAACGCTGCTTCGAATCTTCCCCGATCAGCAGCGGCGTGGCGTCCTCTCGTTCACCGAGGTAGCCGTAGTCGATGCCAACCACCGCGAGCGCCGACTCCTGGTGGTCCTTCGTCTGACGGCCTGCGGACAGGCCTCTGCCGGAGACGCACTCCCGGCACCATGCCCTGTAGGGCTCGTGCAGCACCTCATGCGCGGCTCGCTCGGCCGCCGTCGGCGCCGCGGGCGCCCTCGCCGGCCGTGCCGGCGGGCCCTCCGCGACCTCCTCGTGAGCCGCGCCTGGCTGGCCGGCTTCACCCTCGGGAGGCTCGTGGCCTGCCACCTCGACCGGGCAGACCTCCGGCACGTACGGGTCGACGTGCATATCCATCTCGTAGACCTTGTTCCTGCGGCAGAACTTGACAACGTCTCCGCTGGTCTTGTGGTACGCGTTGCTAATGTCCTGCCCGCCCTCCGAGTCGAAGACGAGCCGATGGCCAGAGTCGACCATCTCCGCGACGCTCAGCGACGGCTTGCTGATGTCCGCCACCCTGAACTTGGCAGCGCGTGCCTGGGATGCCCCAGGCATCGTCCCCACGAGGATCTTCTCGCCCTCGTCGTTCACGTAGTGGCCAGAGGCGGTCTTGTACGAGATCGCCTGGCCGCCCTCGTGCACCGGGTAGTCCGCACACGAGCCACGCGGCAGCACCGATGCCGCCGCGCACGAGTCGATGCCCACACGCAAGATGCCGTTGAGCTCGACCTCCTCCGCATCCGAGTTGCCGTGGATCATGTTCAGGTCCAAGGCCGCGCTGGTCGCAGAGTCGACCACGTCCGCCTTGTCCGGCCCCGGGTCGTAGATGCTGAGGGAGTGGAGGTTCGCGAACGGGTAGCTGACCTGCTCGTCCGCGTCGCTCAGGTAGACTGCTGCGACCTGTCGAGAGCTCGTGCCGGACATCGCCGTCGCCGGACTCAGCCTCGTAGTCGCAGCCGTCGAGATAGAGCTGGCCGCCGACGGCACGGTCGTACTCGTCGACTGGGAGGCGTTGATGCGAACCAGCGTCTGCTCCATGCTCGCCAACGTCCCCCTGTGCTTGCTCGGGCATTCACGCTGGGTGTGGCCGCGACCGCCGCAGCCCCAGCAGAGTGGCCCGAGCTGCTGACCCTGTGACTTGCTGCCGGTCTTGCTCTTGCCGTCGGATTTGGACTTGCCCTTGCTGTCGCCCTTGCTCTTGCCCTTGCCACTGGACTTGCTCTTGCCCTTGCCGTCGCCCATGAGCCTGCCCTTGCCGTCACCCTTGGTGAACGCACTCAGGTCCATGGGCACGGGCACCGGGGCGATGGCGCTCTGGGCACGGCGGATGTCGGTGACCTCACGTCGGAGATCCTGCCACTCCACCAGCCTGGTCGCATTGAGCAAGAGGTGCTGGCGTAGAGGGTCTTCCTCAAGCTGCCGAAGGACGATGCCGATCCTCATAGAGGCTGTGATGGCCTCGCCGCTCCTCTGCTCGTACCTGAGGAGCTCTCGCTCGAACAGCGCCAGCCGGTCCTCGACATCGCCAGTGAACGAGAAGTTCAGGAGGTTCGGCAGCTGCCCCGCGATGCGGGACCTCGCATTCGGTTCGTAGTATTCGACCAGCTTGCGCCAAGCCTGGAAGCCCTCATTCTCGCCAGCGTTCACGATCGTCGTCACGGGGTGCTGCCGGCAGAGGAGGAGCAAGATGTAGTACAGCTGCTGCGAGGCCTGCCTCATATTCTCCTCGAGGAAGTCATCGTTCTGAACTGAGGCCTCGTCAGCGCTCTCTGCCAGTCGCATCCCTGCCAGCAAGTCGGCGTTCACGACGCCACAGTACGCCTTGAAGATCACCTTCCGATCGTTCCACTTATGCTCCTCGCCCGTGAACACGTCTGGCTTGCCCAGCGTGCGAGTGTCCACGAGCGACTCGGCTCGAGGCTGTAGCACAGGCCCGTCCACCCGTGGTCTAGCCTCGGCCACACGGCCGAGCCGCTGCACCTCGGCCGTGAGATCGTTCTCCCTCTGCTGGCGGTTCTGCAGCTCCTGGGCCAGCGCCATCATCTGCTGCTCTAGAGCCTGCACGCGCTCCTCCGCCATCTCAGCGGCGGTTCGCGCGCAGCTTCGAGAAATCCTTCGGGTGCTGGCCCAGCGCTGCCCAGGTCCTCCTCAGCCTGAACAGCTTGCGTAGCTGCCTCGCCACTCTCCTCCAGCCTTGATGGACCTCGACGAGCTCCCACTCGCCGCCGCCGCCGGAGCTCGGCCCGGCGGGCCCTGCTGCGGCTCCCGCACTGGCGGCCGGCCCCAGGCTGCTGGGGCTCTCCGCGCCGCTGGCGGGAGCGGGAGCCGCGGAGCCCGACCCCGTAGACTGGGAGGGTCGGGACCACGGCTCCGCTACCATGGCGAGATCTTTTCTTCGGATGCCTGCCTTGAGCCATATCAGCCATGGCACGATATCTCACAGTAAACCTGCTGGGGGTCTCTGGGTTCCTGCAGTATGGGCCGACCTGGGTCCTCTTGCGCCGCTTTTGGAGCGCCCTGGGAGCGTTCTGTATGTTTCTGGGACGCGTGTGGGACCCTTGGAGCGTTTTCAGAGGGCCCAGCAAGTCAAGGGGTCAGGGGGCGACTTCCCCCTCAAGGACCCCAAGAAGGCTTCAACATAATCTCCAGAGGCCCCCAAGGCCTCGATGGCTTACTCCTGCCGTCGTTGTGGTCGTCGTCCTCCGTCCCCTCCACTTGCTCCGTTCTCTCGAAACGCTCCAGCACAAAACAAGAGGAACCCAAACGAGTCCAAGAAGCCTCCGAGCAAGCTCCCAAAGCGGCCCCAAAACGGCACGAGCAAGGATAGGGGGTGCTAGATCACCCCCCCAGTTCGATATAGCACCTCTGAAGGGGCCCTGGGACACACACAAATACACACAAAGAACAGGATTCCCAATCTTCTCCCATATTTTCTAGGTTTTTATCGTCCCCCCCACTTCCCATATTGTCCCATATTTTCCGGGGGATCGACGATTAATTGTGTCTGTGTGTTTTTCCCCTCCTGAACCTCCTGGGCCCTCTCGGGGCCCTCGAGAAGGAGAGTCCAGGAGGCCTCCAAGTGAGTTCCCAGAGCGCCCCCCAAAAAGAGCCCTAAGGATAGCCAGAAGCGCTGCACCAGACCGCCAGGCAGACACAGCATCTCCTGGGCCATCTGAGAGGCCTCGGGGAGGAACGAAGACAGCCCCAAACGAGTCCGAGAGGCCCTCAAGCAATGCCAGCGCGCCCCAAAAACGGCCCGAGAAGAGCCAAGAGGTGCTGTTATCAACCTGCTGGTCAGAGGCAGCACGTCCTGGGTCCTCTGAGCGCCCTCGGGAAGGAGCCAAGAGAACCCCAACGCGTCCAAGAAGCCGCCAAGCAAGCCTCGAGAGCGCCCCCCCGAACGGCACAAGCAAAACCAGAGGATGCTATATCAAACCGGAAATTCGGCATGGCACCCTGGGCACTCTGAGGGCCCTTGGGAAGGAGCCAAGGGGGCCCCAAACAAGTCCGAGGGACCTCCCAGCAAGCTCCCAAGGCGTTATGCAAAACGGCACCAGAGGAGGTGCTGTATCAAATCGCCGGTTAGATATAGCACCTCCTGGGCCCTCTCGGGGCATTCTGGAGGGAACCAGAAAAGGCCCAAGAGGGCCTCAATAGGGCCTGCCATGAACCTCAAGACGAGCCGAAGAGGAGGTTCACAGGCGGCTGGTTACAGGACCTACGGGGCCCTCCACGGCCTCCAGAGCACCCCTAATGAGGCCCAGAGTGCCCCAGGGGGCTCCAAAATGGCGCGAAAAGCTAGGGGCACTCTGGGGCAGGGGCACCTTTACACGTCGGTCGGAAGAAGCATGTAAAAACATGAAGGATAACGTAGCTTTGGTCAAGGCCCTCCCAAATAATAGCAAAACGCAGCAAAAGCATATCGATTATTGAAGCAGGAAGGCGCTTGAAGTAAATTGGGATATGGGGATCCCAGAACACCTACTTTGAACGACCGACGTGCAACCACACCCGAACATTCAGTAGGAGCCACCCAAGGTCGAGCCGCCAGCGCTGCAGTGCGGAAGGGCGGCAGCACGGCCGAGTCGACCTCGGACCTCGGACCTCGGACCTCGCTCGCCGCAAACTCATGTTCGCTCGGTGTGCTTTCGCAGGGCGAGGTCCGCTGTGGACCGCCCGAGACGGAGACGGATGGTCCAGCATGCAGATGCCGTCCAGCTCCGGCAGCGGCCGCTCCTTGGACAGGCGGCGCTCGTCCGCGGCGACACCGACGGCGGATCCTGCTCCACAGGGGCAGGAGCTGCTGCCGGCCTCTTCGCCCCCGGTGTGGCTCGTCCCCGTTCCGGCCCTGCTGATCCAAAGCCTGTCCGCACCCCAACTGGCCATCGCTCGGACTTCCATTCCCTGTGTTTTTTTTCAGCTTCGTGCGTGTTTGTTTCGCCAAAGTTGGTCAAGGATGCTCCTCGATGGTCCTCGCCGAAGGAAAAATGCACACGTCCGAACGATGCCAAGCCAACACTGAACGCACACGTCCGACGACGTTGCCCGTCGGTCGGAAGACGTGGGCAGAAGCACGAGACCGGAGGGCGTCGGACGCCAACTGGGCGGCCGCCCGCCCCCGGAGGAGGAGGGACGAGGGAGAGCCGCTCGACCATGGAAGCGGGAAGGCGCCCAACGCGGACTGGAGTCTGCGAGTCCAAGAGGGCCTGCGGTCGGCCCCAGGTATGAGATCGAGGTCGGCTCGGGGAGGGTGCCCTGATGTGGAGGGGAGGGAGGGAGGGAGGGAGGGAGGGAGGGAGGGAGGGAGGGAGGGAGGGAGGGAGGGGGAGGAGGGAGGAGGAGGAGGAGGGAAGGAGGAGAAGGGAGGAGGGAGGAGGGAAGGAGGAGAAGGGAGGAGGAGGAGGAGGAGGAGGAGGAGGAGCATTCTGGGGGAGGGTACCCTCGGATGCTCCGCGTGGCTTCGCCCGTGGAGGAGGGCCTCATGCTCTTGCGTCGGCCGCACGCAAGAGTGGCCCTGGGCAGGCGTGACCTCTGGTGCGCGGCTTCCTTGGGGGCCCGCGGGGGGACCGGACACGAGCGCGCAGGACGCTGCCGTCGCATCGCGCTCGGCGCTCGGGGGAGCCCCCACTGGGCCCGCGCCAAGGCCCACTCCGGCGAGGGGCCCCTCCCTGCGTGTGGGCGATCGAGGAGGGGCTCCTCTGCACCGGGTCCGAGGGCACTGCCCAGCGACCCGCGTCCACTCTGCTGCCCCCCGCGGGCCCCCAGGCCCCCCCCCAACCTGAAGGGGCCCTGGAACACGCAAATACATACACACAAAAATAAAAGGATTCCCCATGTTTTCCCATATTTTCTGGGTTTCTGTCTTCCCCCCCCCTGCCCATCTTTTCCCATGTTTTCGGGGGAATCGACGATTAATAATTGCGCCTGTGTGTGGTTTTTCTCCTCCTGGCAACCTCCCGCCGTCCCTCCCTCGGGGGCGGCTCCCGGTCCCGGGGGCCCCCTGCGTGGACCGCCCCCGGGCACGGCGCGCGCCCCCGCGGACGTGCCTGCAGACGTCCGCCACGGGCACCGCAGCACGAACATTAGGAGGCAACTACTGGGAGGTTTTCGTCGGAAAAAATAAGGAGGATTAAGCCCCATTTGAAAGCTGTTACGCCAGAATGGGCCTCGGACTAAGCGGGATTAAGCCGGATTAAGCGGGATTAAGCCAGATCAAGCGGGATTAAGCCGGATTAAGCCGGATTTCGGACCAGGGCTACATCAGAATTTGACCTCCCAGGAGTTGCATCCGAGCGAACAGGACACTGGCCATCGCTCGGACGTCCATTCCCTGTGTTTTTGTTCGGTTTCGTGCGTGGCTTTTCCGCCAAAGGATCAAGGATGCTCCTCGATGGTCCTCGCCGAAGGAAACATGCACACGCCCGAGCGCTGCCAAGGACAGCAGCGCCTTGGACCGACGCCTCGCCCCAGCCCGCCGGGCCCCCAAAGGCCCAGGGTGCGAGGAGCCGGCCGATGCGGCGCTGTTCGAGAGGCGGACGTGCAAGGTACAGCTCGCACTACCATTGGTAGACGAAGGAAAAAACACATAAACATGAGCTTTTGGCGCTCCGCGCGGATTTCTTGGATCCGCGCTGGACCCCCCATCCGTGGCGCGCGGAGCGCGCCAGGGACGGCGCCGGAGGCGCCGCCAGGGGGCCCAGGCGCGGATCCAAGCAACCCGCGCGGAGCGCCAAAAGTTTATGCTTATGCGTTTCTTTCTCCTTCGCATTGGGCAGCCATCTCCAAGCCAAGTGTTTTTTACCTGCGAAGACTGATAGGTTTCTAGTGGGGTCAAAAGAGAAAAGAGAGCATCCTTATTCCCCAGGGGGGTCTGGGCAGGATCCGGGGGATGCCGGGGAAAACCGGGGACTCCCCAGAACCTTATCCCAGGCCACATTTTGACCGCCCGGAGCCAACAGAACACCATTCCCAGGCCACATTTTGAATGCCCGGAGCCAACTGTAGGCCACTTCGTGTTCTTCGTCTTCCCAGAACACCATTCCCAGGCCACATGTTGAATGCCCGGAGCCAACTGTAGGCCACTTCGTGTTCTTCGCGTTCCCAAAACACCCTTCCCGGGCCACATGTTGAATGCCCGGAGCCAACTGTAGGCCACTTCGTGCTCTTCGTCTTCCCAGAACACCATTCCCAGGCCACATTTTGAATGCCCCGAGCCAACTCTAGGCCACTTCGTGTTTTTCGTCTTCCCAGAACACTACTCCTGTACCATATTTTGATTGCCCGGAGCCAACTGTGGGCCACTTCGTGATCTTCGTGTTCCCAGAACACCAGTCCTGTGCCATAGTTTGAATGCCCGAGCTGAGGCAGGCTGAGGCCGAGGCAGGCTGAGGCCGAGGCAGGCTCAGGCTGAGGCTGAGGCACGCCGAGGCAGGCCGAGGTTGAGGTTGAGGCAGGCTGAGGCTGAGGCAGGCTGAGGCTGGAGCTGACGCAGGCTGAGGCCGAGGCAGGCTGAGGCTGAGGCTGAGGCAGCAGCTGAGGCAGGCTGAGGCTGAGGCTGAGGCTGAGACAGGCTGAGGCTGAGGCTGAGGCAGGCTGAGGCTGAGGCTGAGGCTGAGGCTGAGGCAGGCTGAGGCTGAGGCTGAGGCTGAGGCAGGCTGAGGCAGGCTGAGGCTGAGGCTGAGGCTGACAGGCTGAGGCTGAGGCAGGCTGAGGCTGAGGCCGAGGCTGAGGGCTGCGGCTGAGGCTGAGGCTGAGGCTGAGGCTGAGGCTGAGGCAGGCTGAGGCTGAGGCTGAGGCAGGCTGAGGCTGAGGCAGGCTGAGGCTGAGGCTGAGGCTGAGGCTGAGGCTGAGGCAGGCCGAGGAGGCAGGCTGAGGCTGAGAGGCTGAGGCTGAGGCTGAGGATGAGGCCGAGGCAGGCCGAAGCTGAGACAAGGTGAGGCTGAATGGGGGGGGGGAAGGGGGGGGGAGAGGGGAGGCTGAGGCAGGCTGAGGCCGAGGCAGGCTGAGGCCGAGGCAGGCTGAGGCTGAGGCTGAGGCAAGCCGAGGCAGGCTGAGGCTGAGGCTGAGGCTGAGGCTGAGGCAGGCTGAGGCTGAGGCAGGCTGAGGCTGAGGCTGACGCAGGCTGAGGCCGAGGCAGGCTGAGGCTGAGGCTGAGGCAGGCTGAGGCTGAGGCCGAGGCAGGCTGAGGCTGAGGCTGAGGCAAGCCGAGGCAGGCTGAGGCTGAGGCTGAAACTGAGGCAGGCTGAGGCATCCGTAGGAATCCATAGGAATCCTTAGGAATCCCTAGGAATCCCTAGGAATCCTTAGGAATCCGTAGGCATCCTTAGGAATCCGTAGGCATAGTTAATCATCCTCAGGAATCCTTAGGAATCCTTAAGATTCCTCAGGAATCCTTCGGAATCCCTAGGAATCCCTAGGAATCAGGATTCCTAAGGATTCCTAAGGTTTCCTAAGGATTCCTATGGATTCCTAAGGATGCCTAAGGATGCCTTAGGAATCCCTCGGAATCCTTAGGATTCCATTGGATCCTAAGGCCGTTGCCACTGCGACTGTCATTGCGAATGCGACTGCGACTGCGAGAACAGCAGAATTCTACAATCTTAAGGGGAATGCTTCCAAATATGCTTATACACATCGCTGTTAGGTTGCTTTTCCGGGATGATTCAATGCTCCCCGACCCCCCCCACACTGGAAACGGAGGGCTTATTGAGGCCTTCGGGTTGGGTTGGGGTGGTTTGGTGGGTGGTGAGCTCGAGAGGCGGGCGTGCAAGGTACGACTCGCACTACTACCAGTGGGCAGCCATCTCCAAGCCATGTCGAGGTTCCTCCCGCGCCCCGCGCCGTGCCTGCAGCACCGCGCACGCCTCCGCGGAGGGCGGCATGTCCCCCAGCGCTCGCTCGGCGGTGGCGAGGAGCTCGTGGGGGAACTGCCGCGGGGTGCGGGGGCGCACGAGGGCGACTGGGGAAGGCAAGAGGAGGAGGAGGAGGAGGAGGAGGAGGAGGAGGAGGAGGAGGAGGAGGAGGAAAAAGGCAGGTTTCTAGCCGCCTCCTCCTCTCCTCCTCCTCCTCCCTCCTCCTTCTTCTACTCCTCCTCCTCCTCCTCCTCCTCCTCCTCATCTCCTCCTCTCTCCTCCTCCTCCTCCTCAAGGGGGGGCAACGGGAAGGAGCTAGCCAGGGAACGATGCAGCGAGGGAGCGGGAAGGGCAGGGAGGGAGGGAGGGAGCGGTCGGAGCGGGACGCGGCGGGGCAGGAGGCGATAAGACGGGCCTTGACAGAAAGAGGGAAGGGGAGGGGACCTAGATCCGCCGCCGTGGTCTCAACGCGTAGTGGAAAGCCCGGAGGCTCATACCTCGTAGAGATGTGAACTCAACGAGGGACGTAGGGATGGAGGCCAGAACACTACTCATTCGCCAGAACTGTGGAGCGCTTCGGGCATATGCCGAGCATCTCCCAAGAGCTTTCAAAGAAACTCTCAAGAAGACTCAGGCGCCCTCGGTGGCCCTGCGAAGAAGGGGGTGAGGGGGAGGAGGAGGAGGAGGAGGAGAGGAGGAGGAGGAGGAGGAGGAGGAGAGGAGGAGGAGTAGGAGGAGGAGGAGGAGGAGGAAGAGGGGGAGGGGGAGGGGGAGGAGGAGGAGGGGGCCGGCCTGGGGCCCGGGAGTCCGGCGCCGCCCCTCCCACGGTGGCCCCTGAGACCGCCCGAAGAGCAGGCGCCCAAGAAGCCGCCCCGAGGCCCCCACGAGGCCCCGGGGAGGCTCCGAAGCTGCCCTCAAGAGGCCCTCGAGAGGCACCCGAGAGGTCCCCAAGAGGCCCCCACGAGGCCCCCGGGCCCCCGGGGAGGCCCCCAAGCTGCCCTCAAGAGGCCCTCGAGAGGCCCCCAAGAGGTCCCCACAAGAGGCCTGCGAGCACCGCCTCCGGGGCCTTCGGTGGAGAGCCCCCTTTTCGGGGCCACGGAGCGCTGTGCTGGGTGGGGAAAGCGCAGGCGGACGCCGCCATTGGGGCCTTCGGTGGCATCGTCCACCAGGCTGTTGTTCTAGTCGATGAGCTGCACCAAAGGCCTCTTGTCCACGAGCACTGCATAATAGCGGAATGGGCCGAAGGCCACTAGATATTCGGCGTCGTGAGAAATCACCGCGTTGATAAGATTACGACCGGAGCTCTCGAACCTAGGTTGATAAGATATTGTTCGCAATGGACCGATTCCTGAGGGTCTGTTGGCAAAACACGACCGTCGTGTTGTTCCCTTTCCAAGGCAGCAGGGGGGATGTCAGGTACGTTATCTTCTTCACGAATTTCCTTTTTTTGGCGTGGTGGACGCGCTGGTCGACGAGGTACGAGGCCACGACGACCTGCTCCTCTGGTGGATTGCAACCACCGATAGCCCCGCATCGAAGGTATTGGGGGCTGAAGCATGGTGACGGCGGTGGCCTCCTGAGCAAGAGGTCAACCACAGGGAGCGCACCGCTGTCATATCCGATGAAGTGATGCGTTTTCCTGTTTAGGATGTGCGGTCCTCTGGCTCATCCTGCTCCTCGTGCTTTTCATCCTGCCTCTCCACATTGCCCTGACATCACAGCCCAAACTCATGAGGTTACCAACGCGACCACAAGCACTGGCAGCAACCACAAGAACACCTGACGTAAGCACACGGACGATAGTGCCCATTACGACGATGTCGACAGGGACGACAGCGCGGGTCAAGACAGCGACAACGACAATGACCCCAAGGATGCCAACGCCAGTGAACCCCACACTGGTCAACACAATCGTCCTCTATTCACGCTGCCCCCTACATACGACGGCGTGAGAAAGATCAGGCCCCCTGACGGGGACCCCCAACCAAAGGGCACTTGGGCCATCAGCCAGGCGCGCGCCCAGTGCCCTCTCCGACGCGGACAGCCAGTGGCGCTCGCCCGTGGCGCGGACGGTGGCGCGCAGGACCCCAGACGCGCGAAACTCCCACCCCAGTCCGAGCGCTGGTTCGGTTCGCGCGACCTCTGCACTCATCCCACGGGCGCGGAGGGGGAGGGGGAGGGGGAGATTGGCAGGGGGACGGCGCAGCCAGAACCCCCCAACAGGCTGCGAGACGGCCCCTTTTCACAGCCGCTGTTCTCCGCGCGGCGCCTTCAGGGGAACCGAGCTCTGCACACACACCGGCGCTTTCTTATATCGGCCCTGCACTGAGACTCGCACAAGAAACCAGATCCTGGTGTATACGGGATCCGATCCTGGTGTACACACTTTTCGCCATTCCTACAGGAAAACAGGGAAACAAAGATACACCACACCACCCCGACGTCGTCCGCGACCCTCAAGAAGTCCAGGGATTGAAAAGCAGCACGCCACTGGTAATGCATATGTTCCAGATTCCGACTTTTTTTCTGCGACGCTCCTGATGTTTTTGTTGCTACGTTCAAGAAAGCTGCGTTGCAGCTGACGGATTGTTGCAGCGACGCTTCTAACGCAGGGCTTCTACCTCCGCCCACTTTTTCGAATTCGAGTGGTGGCCCGAGTAACAACGACGCCTGCGAACCGTAGAACTCTGCGCGGATGCCCTCTCACGGGAGGCACAGAGACATACTAGTACTATGTCCTCCTTGTAGGCGCGCGTCTGACCCGAACAGATAATATACCCATCTTGTAGTAGATCGTTTCCCGAGAAGTAAGGCCAGAAAGCGTCCGCCACGACGCATACAGTCTGTAGATTTCTCGGTGCGCGCGTCGCCCCTGGGGGGGGGCGACGCACGTATAGTATGAGTATGTTGGGGTGGCGCCGATTTCAGGCGGTTTCTTGAAAGGCTGCCGCATTCGTGCAGGAAGGGTGCTTCCAAGCTTGGTACACGGACACGCCTGCCCTTGCCTCAGAGCTTGAGCAGAAGGCATGAGCAACACTATCCTCTGCTAGAAAGAATTTCTTCGCTGCCCAGGACTACGACATCGTATCCTACTTTCTGATGGTTGCAATCCCGCTTTTCGGCGGCGATGTTGCCGAACAGCTCACGCTCACCGCCGTCCGTCGTGCTGGGCTTATCGATGCAACACGCTTGGACAACGCACTGCACCTGGAATGGCGTATCGCATTTCCTCGTGGCAGTGGTCTTCACGACCGTTGCGCCTGTGGGCTCGCACACGCGCCAGGCCAGGATGACATGCACTGGCCCGTGCCGATGCGGACTGAGCCCAAGCGGCTGCGGAAGCCGGAGCTGGCCCTGCAGAAGTGGCCTCCCGAGGCGGAGTGCAGGACCGCCCCCTCCCCCCCACGCCCCCCCACGCCCCCTCTCCTGAGGCCTCTTGGGGCTCCCTGGGTCTCGCAAGTCATGAGTAGTCATGAGTGCTGATACAGGTTGATTGGAGAGGACACGCGAGAGGCCCTCCCGAGGGCCACACCGCCATAGAAACGTAGAAGGCATGGGTCGCGAACCACAGGACACGAGGGTACCCTTGATCCGGCAGGGCCGACCTACCAATCAGCCTCGAGTGTACCACCAGGAACGCAGCATGAGGAAGAACGTCAGTCTGGGCCCCCCAAGAAGCGCCTCGGTGAGCGAGGAGAGCTAGAGGAGCAAACCTGGAAGGACCAGAGGAGCACCAAGCCCCTTCCGATCCCGAACTCTGCCCTACTTCAGCGCCTTGGCTGCCAGCACGCAGCCACGCCAGTTCCGCACGAGCATGGGGTGGCGCGTCAAGGGGCAGCCTGGGAGCAGGTGGTGAAGAGGGCTCCCTTCGGGGATGCAGCGGGGCCAAAGCTGGGTGGGAACTGCGGTCGAGGTTGACCGGAGAGGGCACGCGAGAAGGCGCGAGACCCCTCCGAGGGCCACCCATTGCCATACGGATGCAGAAGGCATAGGTCGCGAAGCACTGGACCCAAAGGTGCCCTTGCTTTGGCTGGGTCGGCCAACGAATCAGAGTCAGCCAGGACTGCAGGGCGCGAGAGGGTCTGCGTGCATGCCCTTCGACGGAGGGACATGTCATCGGCTTGTCCTCGCCCTTCTCTTCGCTCTCGCCGTCGTCGTCCTCCTCCTCGTCAGCCTCCCCCTCCTACTCCTCGGCCTCCACCCCGATCCTCGTCCCCCTTCGCCTCCACCTCCTCCTTCCCTCTCCCCATCTTCGTCCTCCTTTTCCACTCCATGGTCCTAGTCCCCCTCCTGGTCCTGGTCCTGGTCCTTATCATGCTCCTCATCTCCTTCCTCATCCCCTCCTCTTCCTCCTTCTCCTCCTCCTCCTCCTCGCTCGTTCATTCCTTCATTCATTCATTCACTCACTCACTCACTCACTCACTCACTCACTCATTAACTGACTCACTCACGCACTCGCTTTCATCGGAACGAGTAGGGGAAACACGCACCAGCCTAGAAATCTAACACCCCTTGAGGTCTCTTGTGGACCCATGTGGGGCCTCGTGGGAGCCACCCTGGGGCTGCTTTGGGGGCCATCCTGCGATCGTCCTGGAACCCTGTCAAAGTATCTGGGGTCGTTGAGTGCATCGAAGCACCCAAACTTTTCGCAACCGAAATTCACAACGACGGCGACGCATTCATAACGGGGCAAGCTTGGGGCCTCTGGGGGCGGCCTGCAAGACTCAGAGGCTCCAAGACTCTCCGACACAAACAACATTAACACTAAGAAGAAGAAACAGCCGGAAACTCCCCAGAGACCCTAAACGTAACATGTCAAACCACCACCGACACAGACAAATGCAATCCGAGCCTCCTCGGGGGCTCCAACATGTTCAGTAAACGTTATAAATGCTTCGAACACGCAACTGATGGAAACGGGATGCATACAGCCTGCATGTCGAAGTCTCAATTATGGGGGCCTCGAAAACTCTGAGAGGCCCCCAAACCCACGGGAGCCCCTGCAAATATCTCCGCACCTCTCTCGAACCACTTTCCCTCCCGATCCTCCCTGCTCCTCCACCTATTTTCCCAGCTCCTCCTCCTCCTCCTCGTCCTCCTCCTCCTCCTCCTCCTCTTCCTCCTCCTCCTCCTCCTCCTCCTCCTCCTCCTCCTCCTCCTCCTCTCCCATCTCCTCCTATCTGCCCGCGGGTGTGGGCCTGGCACCTGCTTTCATGGAGTCAGCGCCACACTCTCATCGGGGCACACCGTCAGACTCGACTGCATGCGGCGACTGGGGGCAAGTAAACCGGCTCGCGCCTTTTGGAACCAGCCACGTGGCACTTTGCCCGCGGCAGCGGCGCGCCACGCTCCGCGACCTGGAGAATAGGTGCCAGGCACGGGGGGATTAGCTCACTGGGCGGAAAGGCGGGGCCATGTGTCCCGTAAGCCCCACGGTGGCCGTGTGCCCGTTCACCCTGGGGAACAAACCCTGTTGCGCATGCCAGCTGATTGGGCAGGGGGTGATAATCGGGAAGCACCTCGCAGAGAGGAGGACCGAACGTCCCCCTACGCACCACGCTCTCTCGGCCGGAGGCAAAGTCGCTGGGCGACGAGGTAGCTGCCTGTCCCCTGTTCGTCGGTGCGCGCGCCTTCGGGCCCGCTCCCCCCCGTAAAAGGGGAAGCCGCGAGAGCCCCTCGCCTGCCATTGCAGCACGCCTGCGTGCGGCGTGCACCGCGCACTTCCTGGATCCACGACTCCATGACTCCATGGCTCCATAGCTCCACGACCCCACGACTCCATGACTCCATGACCCCTCATCCTCCTCTTCCTCCTCCTCCTCCTCCTCCTCCTCCTCCTCCTCCTCCTTCTCCTCCCCCTCCCCTCCTCCTCCTCCTCCCCTCCTCCTCTCCTCCTCCTCCTCCTCCTCCTCCTCCTCTCTCCTCCTCCTCCTCCTCCTCCTCTCCTCCTCACTCCTCCTCTCCTCCTCTCCTCCTCCAGCCTCCCCCACCCCCCCCCCCTCCGCCTGCCCCCCCCCCCTTTCCTCCCTCCCCCCCCTCCCGCCCTCTCACCCTCCGCGTTTCCTCCTCCTCCTCTTCCCCCTCCCCCTCGCCAGCGGAGCTGGCGGGAGGTCGGCGCCGCCTGCATCGGCGGCGTGCAAATGGAGCTGGCGACCAGCCGCAGAACCGGCGGAAGGCGGCGGAAGGGCTCGGGCGCTCAGGCCTCCTGGGGGTCCCTCCCCTGGGATGGGGTGGAGTGCTGGCCGGGGCGGGCTCGGGACGCCCCGGGTCGCCAAGCCCCCCTCGTTCGGGGTCCCTGCCGCTCGTCCTGCTTGGTGCCCCTCCCCCTCCGAGGGGTCCCCCTCGGAGGGCGGGCCTGCGCAGGCACCCTCGGGCCTGCGGCGCCGCGAGCGCCGCCCGAGGCAGGCGCCAACGCCTGCCACGGGCGGCGGCCTCCGCGGCGGCGCCCGTCGCCCGCTCCGAGGGCGCGGCTGGCTGCCGGCGCTCGGGGGCGGGCCTCGCCCGCCCCGCCCTCGAGACGCGATCGGGGCGCCCTTCGCCCGCTCGGGGCGCGCGAGGGGCGCGGGGCCCGCCTGCTGCCGCGCGGGGCCCCCTCGGCTCCTGGGGCGGTGCGCCGCGCGGCGCTTCCGGCGCGGCCCGCGCCGCCCTGGGGTCGAGGGGCCCTCCTGGCCTGCCCTCTCAGGGGGGGCTGCTGCGGCCCGCCAGGGGCCCCCGCAGCGCGGGCCACCCGCGATGTTTGGCCGCTTCTGTTCCCTGGGGGATTCCTCCTCGGGCAGGGGTGGCAAAGGCGCAGCCGCCACCCCGCGGGTCAGTTACGGCTCCACTGAGTGCGTGGAACCTTGACGTCCTATGCCGCTCATCCTGTTCATGCGCACCCCTCCCCTCCTCCCTCCCTCCCTCCCCTCCCTCCCTCCCTCTTGCTCCCCTCCCTCCCTCCTCCCCTCCCTCCCTCCCCCCTCCTTCTCCCTCCTCCCTCCCTCCCCTCCTCCCTCCCTCCCTCCCACCCTTCCCCTCCTCCCTCCCTCCCTCCCCTCCCTCCCTTCCCTCTTCCCTCCTCCCTCTCTCCCCTTTTCCGAAGCCTCAGCTCGGCGGCGAGCAGCGGAGAGGGCCGCTCCTCCCCTCGCGCGCGGAAGCAGCGGCAGCTGGAGGCGGCCTCCTCGCTGCCGTCGGCGCTGTAGCTGGCGCGCCCCGGCGGGGTGGCGTCCTGCGGCGACGAGACATCGACGACGACGTCGACAACGATCGACGGCTACTCCGAGTTTCTTAATAAGCGTCGGGGTGGCGTCACCGCCGCCGACAGCACAACATCGACCCCCGACGCGGGGCAGCCACCGCGCACCGAGGGCGCTCCGACCCCCCGTCGCGGCGCGATGACGAGGCGAGGCTGACCCCCGTCGGGGGGGTACCCCCCCACGCTTACGAAGAAACCCAGAGCACGGCGACGGCGGCGAGAAATCAGAGGAGGAGGAGGAGAAGGAGGAGGAGGAGGAGGAGGAGGAGGAGGAGGAGAGCGACGGCGGCAGAGCGAGCGAGCGAGCAGCAGCCGAGAGGCAGTTGGGCCGGAGGCCGCCAATTGGCAGCAGCCCGTGGGGATGGGCGGCCACGCACCGCCTGCCCCCCGCCAGTGCTGCCACAGAGGGGGCCCGAGGTCGTCCCTGCGTGGTGGGCCCAGCACGGGAAGGGCCCTCCTCCTCCTCCTCCTCCGCCTCCTCCTCCTCCTCCCGTCTGCTCCCCCTCCGGGGCGCACGCGTCAAACCCGTAGCGACGGCGGCAGAGGAGGATGAGGCGGAGGACAACGAGGACGACGTCGCCCAAGCAAAGGAGGAGGGAGGGCGGGAAGAGATGGAGAGGACGACCGCAGGTACCGAGGGCCGAGGAGAACACGGGGGGCAGCGGGTAGGATGAGGGAGAAGGGTGTAGCCCTCCCGTGCTGCCCCCAGACGCGACGCTCCCCTCGGAAAACGGGAGCCGGCCGCGGCGGTGCCCAATCACCACACCCCATCTGCAGAGAGCGCCTCGCCTGCGTGAGTCGGCAAGGGCACAGGCGCGACCAAAACACTGGTCGTGATTTCTCCACGGCGCCCGAAGGCACCCCCCCCTCCCGCCGGACTGCGGGCCAGGGCTCTCGGGCCTCGGGCGGCGGTTCGGGACGGCCCCGGGCTCCCCGGAGGCCCCCGACGAAACGACGAGTCGGAGCGGCCAGGCACCGAAAAGCAGTTCCATGCATCGAGGAGGCCCCTCGGGAAAGCTGCCGACGCCAATCGACGGACGAGCGACGACTAACGACGCGAGAAAGGACGACGGGCGCGGGACCACGGACGACGACGACGACGACGACGACGACGACGACGACGACGACGACGACGACGACGACGACGACGACGACGACGACGACGACGACGACGACGACGACGACGACGGGGGCGGCAGCGGCAGCGGGAGGGGCGGCGGCGCGCTCCCGCCCGCTGGCAGGCGGCCGGGGGAGCGGCAGGGCGCCAGCGCACTGGGGCACAGCGCGGCCGAGGGGGAGGGTGGGAGAGGGACGGGACGAGGGGGTAGGGAAGAGGGAGGAGGAGGAGGAGGCGGAGGGGAGGAGGAGGAGGAGGAGGAGGAGGAGGAGGAGGAGAAGGAGGAGGAGGAGGGGGAGGATGAGGAGGAGGAGGAGGGGATGGTGGAGGTGGAGGAGGAGGAGGAGGAGGAGGAGGAGGAGAGGGAGGGGAGGAGGAGAGGGTGAGGAAGAAAAGGAGGAAGAGGAGGAGAAGGTGGACGCCCCAAGGCGGGGAGGCGCCGGGGGGAGGGGGAAGAGGAGGAGGAGGAGGAGGCGATAGGAGGGGAGAGGTTAAGGTATATGAGGGGGGGGGAAAGATGAGATAGGAGGGGGGACGGAAGGAGTGAGGGGGGAAGGAGGACGAGCAGGATGTGGAGGAGGAAGAGGAGGAGGAGGAGGAGGAGGAGGAGGAGGAGGAGGAGGAGGAGGAGGAGGAGCGGAATGGAGGAGAAAGGGGAGGAGGAAGAGTAGGAGGAAGAGCAAGAGGAGGGAGAAGGAACAAGATGGAAGAGGATGAGGAGGAGGCGGAGAAAGGGGAGGTAGCAGCCAAGCAGCAGCAGAAAGGAGAAGTAGAGGGCGGACGAGGAGGAGGACAAGGAGGAGAACGAGGAGCAGAAAGAGAGACATGAGGAGGAGGAGGAGGAGGAGGAGCAGGAGCAGGAGGAGGAGGAGGAGGAGGAGGAGGAGAAGGAGTAGGAGGAGGAGGGGGAGGAGGATATCTACGAGGAGGAGGAGGGGGAGGTGGAAGAGGGAAGCAGGAGGAGGAGTTGGAGCAGGAGGAGGAGGACAAGGAGGAGAACGAGGAGCAGAAAGAGAGACATGAGGAGGAGGAGGAGGAGGAGGAGCAGGAGCAGGAGGAGGAGGAGGAGGAGGAGGAGGAGAAGGAGTAGGAGGAGGAGGGGGAGGAGGATATCTACGAGGAGGAGGAGGGGGAGGTGGAAGAGGGAAGCAGGAGGAGGAGTTGGAGCAGGAGGAGGAGGGGGACGAGGAAGATGAGGTGGATGAGGTGGAGGAGGAGGACGAGGGTAAACCCAAGACCACACAATGAGTTCGCAATAAATATTATCCCTCCGAAGTTCTTGTTTACAGGCTCCTCTGATGATCCATTATCACTGCGGGAAGAACACCGTTGAAGGACAATCGCCGGACACGTTTTCAACAGTGCCAAAGCACTTTCGCTTGGACTTCATACCGCGAATCAGCGTTACTTCTGCGACCTGGCGACCCTGAATATTGCCAAAGCACCATTTCTGGGACTTCAACACCGCGAATCAACGTGACTGTCGCGCTCAGACAAGCCCAAATCGTTCTAAAACACTATCTCTGGAACGCCAACCATAAAAAATCACCTGCCTGGGGTTCCGATCATGCTTGACGTAGAGGTCGATGTGGCTACCAGCGATGCCTGGGGCTGAGAAGCGTACACGAGTGCCGCCAGCATGATGAAGGTGGCGAGCACGGGCTGCAGGGCGAGGGTCCACCAGTTCAGGCCCCCTAGAAGTCGCAGCGTAAATCTGCGCGCAGGCGCATCGCCGACCAGCGATAGCATCTCGTTCGCGGGGCCCGCGTTGCTGATCCGTTCCTGCGGGGCACGGAAGGCAAACTGCGGCGCCACGGGTGCTGAGGAGGTGACGGAGCAGAAGGAATCTTCCCGCGACCACAACTCGGCGACTGACTCACGACGGCGTTGCGTGCATGGACGACCAAGCCTTAAACGCCGCATGGGTGCCTCACTGGCCCACTGGCCCCTGCGTGGGGGCATAAGAGCAGAGGGGGGGGCGGAGGATAAGAAGGAGTATGAGCGGAACTACATGCGGGAAAATCGTCGGTGCCGAACCACACCCATGGACAGGACACTGGTAACGACACGTCGTTCCCTTCATCGTGCAGACACAAGCAGCAATCGAGTGGCATAACAATGTGAATCACGCTCCTTGAGGACCGCAGCGCTTCGGTAACAGTCGGCCACCGCACTCGCAGCGGGGCAAGGGTGCGTCAACCACCTCGCCGGTGCCAACCATGCGCGGCGCACCGTGGAACTGCGCAAGCGCTGCAGCACCACGGGACGGCCAGCGATTAGCACGAAGCCTCGGCGTGATTCCTCTTCGGGGCACAGCCTGACGCACTCCACGCGACCCCGAGGAGAAGGAGGAGGAGGAGGAGAAGGAGGAGGAGGAGGAGGAGGAGACGGAGGAGGAGGAGGAGGAGAGGAGGAGGAGGTGGAGGAGGAGGGAGGAGGAGGAGGATGGAGGCGGAGGATGAGAGGAGGAGGAGGAGGAGGAGGGAGAGGAGGGAGGAGGAGGAGGAGGCGGAGGCGGAGGAGGAGGAGGAGGAGGAGGAGGAGGAGAAGGAGGAGGAGGAGGAGGAGGAGGAGGAGGAGGAGGAGGAGGAGGAGAGGCACACCCAGGAGACCCCTCGGCCCGCGAGGCCCCCCCGACATCCATTCGGGGGCGGGGGGTGCTCGGCAACCCCGAGGCGACCGAAGGGGCAGCCCCCCACGATGGCCTGCCGACCGCCTCGACATGACAGGGGGCCTGCCCCCTGGCGCCTGCCCCTGCGCTCCCGTGGCCTCCCCGAGGACCTCCCTTCCTTCCGTCCCCCCCTCCCTCGCCCACTCCCGCCCAGTTCCCTCGCTCCTCATCCTTCCCTCACTCACCTCTCCTCCCGCCGACCCTCCCGCCGAAGTGTCCTCCCCCCCTCCACCCGCATCCCTCCTTCCCTCCGCTCTCATCCCTCGCCCCCACACAGAATCCTGAATCCAAGCCACTTTCCCCTCCTCCCAGCCATTTCGATCAACCTTCGTCTTCCTACCGCCTCCTTCCTACCGCCCCCCATCATGCCCGTGTCTGACCCCTGCTCTCCCTCTCTCCAAATCATCCCTCCTGAAATCTCTGGAGACCTCCCGAGGCCCAACATACCTGGACAAGAACGCCCATCAGGGCCCACAGGACCCTCGAGCCTCGACCCGTCCCAAAACATGGAGAACGACGAGGGGCTCTCCTCCATCCCGCTGGGCTTGGCTCTTCCCCCAGCCCATAATGTTCCCAATTGGCCCCCTGTCTCGGGAAACGAAACGGTCAGCGATTGGAAAGGGGCGAGTATGATCCATCCCCCATCATCCCTCCTCCGCTCCATTCCCCACCACCACCTCCTCCCTTCCTTTGACGTTTCTTCCCTCCCTCTCTCCCGTTCCTCTTCGCCCCCTACAGTACTCCCTCCTTCATTCTCCCTGTTTCTTCATCCACCCCCTCCCTCACCCCTCACGCCTTCTTTCTCCAAAACCCGTCCCTCACGCTCCCTGCTCCTGTCTGGGTCCTCCTCCCTCCCTCTCCCTCTCCTCCGCTCCTCCTCCTCCTCCTCCTCCTCCTCCTCCTCCTCCTCCTCCTCCTCCTCCTCCTCCTCCTCCTCCTCCTCCTCCTCCTCCTCCTCTTCCTCCTCCACATCCTGCTCGTCCTCCTCCTCCCTCCCTCCCTCCCTCCCTCCTTCTCTTGTCCTCCTCCCCCTCGAACGCCGACGAAGCCTGGCGACGACAACGACGACGAGGACGAAGCCCGACGACGACGACGAAGCCCAACGACGCCGCCGAGCGGCCACGACGGCGGCGACGACGCCGCCGTTGCGGCGGCGGGCGAGCGAGCGCGCGCCCCCAGAGGGCCTTCGAGAGCAGCTCCAGGGCGGCGGCACCGACGCAGCGCGCGGCGCCCGCCTCCGCGCGCTGCGCCTGACCGCCAGCCGCGGTCATCGCCGTCGCCGGCGCAGCCGCCGTCGACGTCGCCGTCGCCGTCGCCGTCCTCCTCCAGGAGCGTTCCTTCTGCTGCTCCACCCTCCTCCCTTCTCCCGTTCTCCCTGCTCCTTCCCCTTCCTCTTCCCTCCTCCCTTCTCCCTCCTCCTCCTCATCCTCCTCCTGCTCCAGCTTCCACCCTCCTCCCTCCCCTTATCCTCTCTCCTCCTCCCCCTCCTTCCTCCTCCACCTCCTCCTTCCTCCTCCTCCTTCCTCCTCCTCCTTCCTCCTCCTCCTCCTCATTCCTCCTCCTCACTGCTCCCCCCTCCTCCTCCCAAATATTTCCATGCCGCATAGACCACCCTTTGGGTAAGAAGGAAGTTGAGAGAGGGGATTGACATCATATGTGATCTTCATCGGACGCACACGGCAGCCCACAAGTGGACACACGTCGGGGAATCAATCTAGATGAACATATATGTGCACACATCTGTGCACATGCATAATGGTTGATGCATGTGCGTATGTATATATATATATATATATGTTGGTACATCTGTATAAACACATATACGCATACATGCATGCAAACATATGCATTATACGCATGCGTCGATATATTTATATATATATATATACATAAACACATACGTAGATGTGTACATATAGGTGTACATAGGTACATGTGTGCGCGTGTATCTGTATGTGCGTGCGTGTGTATATGTTGTAACTGTCCGCGCGAGGGGGGGGGAAGGGGGGGTGATGTGCAAAACCGCACTGGGCACCACACCGGAATTGTGTATTCTGAATTTCTGAAGGGGTGGCCTGGGACGCGCAAGAATACAGCAGATTCGCACCCCCGAGACTATATCCCCTTGAAAAGTTACACTGGAGTCGCGCCCCCGTGGCCATGCTCCTTCCTTAAATATGTCAGGTTCACGCGCCCGACACAAGAATCCTTGTGTAAATTGCACAAGGCTGGCACCCCCGAGGCCCCGATCCCTGGTAGATTACACCGGATCCGCGCGAGGCTACGATCCCTTTAGCACATTGCGCCAGATTCGCGCCCGCGAGGCCACAGTCCCTTGTAAACTAAGTTTGCTTCACCACTATCATCGGAAATGTGGCCGTGCGCGAGAAGGCAGAATTGTACTCTCACGGAGGCGCCACGCCATGTCCCCCATCCCCGCCAAGTCGTCGGAAGCGGAGCCGCGTGCGAATGCCTTCCAATCGGCTGGGCGGGACCGCGCCCGAGTCGCAATATCCAATAGTGCCAACTTTGATTCTCAAGTTAAGGCAAGGTGAGGGTGGGCGGAGCCCGCTGACTAACTGCCTCCCCCTCCTCCTCCTCCTCCTCATCATCATCATCATCCTCCTCATCCTTCTCCTAATCCTTCCCCTAATCCTCCTCCTCCTCCTCCTCATTCTCCTCCTAAGGAGAGTGGATCGGGGGCGGGAAGAAGATTACACTTGTGCGCTTGCCTGTGTCAGGATGGCCCTTGAATCGGAGAGTGATCGGCTGCATCCGAATACATCGCGGCTAGCGGGCACGCGCAAATACACGCCTGCGCAGACCACCTCAAGAATTGATGTTGCGATTGTGACCCTTGCGAGCAGGAAAATCAGCTGCCGTGTCCTCGTTGACAAGGACGGAGATGGGGATGACGAGCGGATCGTGCATGTTCCTCCCCCCAGGAGCGCCGACGATACCAGCTGTCAAGGGTGGCCTAAACCATCGCGCCCTCATGAACCTCAATGAGGAGGCCTGGCACTGGAGAGCCCAACGCTCTCTCTGTCTCTCCCTCTCTCTCTACAGGACGGGGAAGAGGGGTGGTGTGCTGACATGGGCGACGTCTACGCCAAGCGGGGGCGGTCACTGAGGCTGTAGATGGATCTCCCTGCGAGGCACGAGGAGGGGAGGAGGAGGAGGAGGAGGAGGAGGAGGAGGAGGAGGAAGAGACAAGGAGGAGGAGGAGGAGGAGCAAGGAGGAGGAGGAGGAGGAGAGGAGGAGGAGGAGGAGGAGACAAGGAGGGGGAGGAGGAGGAGGGGGGGAGGAGGAGGAGGCGGAGGAGGAGGAGGAGGAGGAGGAGGAGGAGAGGAGGAAGGGGAGGAGGAGACAAGAAGGAAGGGAGGAAGAGGAGGAGGAGGAGGAGGATGAGGAGGAAGAGGAGGGGGAGGAGGAGAGGGAGTGAGGAGGAGGAGGAGGAGGAGGAGGAGAGCAGAAGACAAGGAGGAGCAGGTGGAGGAGACAAGAGGAAAGGAGGAGGAGGAGGAGGAGGAGGAGGAGGGGAGGAGGAGGATAAGGAGGAAGAGGGAGCAGGAGGAAGAGGAGGAGGGGGGGAGGGAGGAGGAGGAGGAGGAGGAGGAGGAGGAGGAGGCGGAGGAGGATGAGGGGGAGCAGGAGGAAACGAGGAGGACGAGGAGGAGACAAGGAGGAGGAGGAGGAGGAGGAGGAGGAGGAGGAAGAGGGTGAGGAGGAAGAGGAGACAAGGAGGAGGAGGAGGAAGAGGAGGAGAAAGAGGAGACAGGAGACGGAGGAGAGGTGAGGATGAGGATGAGGATGAGAATGAAGATGAGGATGATGAGGATGATGAGGATGATGATGATGATGATGATGATGATGATGATGATGATGATGATGATGATGATGATGAGGAGGATTATGATGAGGATTAGGAGGAGGAGGAGGAGAAAGAGGAGGAGGAGGAGGAAGAGACAAGGCAGGAGGAGGAGGGAGGAGGAAGGAGGAGGAGGAGGAGGACAAAGGAGGAGGAGAGGAGGAGACAAGGAGGGGAGGAGGAGGAGGAGGAGGAGGAGGAGGAGGGGTGTGCCGAAGTGGACATGCTGAGACCCGCCGCACGAGGAGGCGGGGGAGAAGGAGGAGAGGCGAGGAGACGCGCGGCGGACTCCAAGCGAGAACCCGACTCCACACAGAAGGCCTGGAAGCCATAGGTCCGCACTCCCGAGGCCAAGGAACTGGGTCTGTTTGTCGGTCTGGAGGCTACATGCCGGCCGTCGCCTGGGCCCAGCGGCTCCGGGCTGGCCGTCGCCGCCCCGACGCCGCCCGTCGTCTGGGCCTCTCGGTCGGTCGCCTTGCCGCTGTCGCCGCACTCCCGAGGCCAAGATCCCTCGCAAAAACTACGGATTCCACCCGGGGTGACACGGGGCGCGCTGGGGGGGCGCGTCCGCGACCGCGCCAGGGGGCGTCCTCGGGCCTTCTGGGGCCAGCCTCTCGGGGCCTCCCGGAGCCTCGTGGGACGTCCGGGTGCCCCACGGGGCCGCCTGGGACCTCCGCGCCCCGCCATTAGTCACATGGTTTATGCAGGGGGCGCGCCACCCTCGAGCGGGCACGCGCGGGGTCTGCATTTTTCGCTACTCTTTAAGCCTTCGTGCCTGGTTGTTTGCGCTTGTGGAAAGTTAAATACAAAAGCCTCCGAACCCGCACTTTCTCAGCGGAAACTGCGGAAGGCGCATCCCGTTACGTGTAAAGCGATTTGGAGGCGCACTTTCTTGCAACAGGCACGCAAGGGATGCATGTGTTGCTAGTTGTTTGCGACCCATTGTCAATGCCTCCGGACCCCGCTCTCGTCTAAGATTAAACGCCGAAGCCTCCAAACCTTCCGTTCTCTGGGAAGCGTGAATCTTCAGTCTTCAGACCCTGGTATTTATGAAGGAGCCGATGTGCGGACGCACTATGTTGGTCCCCACTCTCTTTTCGTCAGCGATAACTTCGCCAGCCTCCTCCAGGCATGGCACTGGATGCAACTCTACCAACTGGCTAACCAGGACGATGCCGTTACCTTTTCTCTGAGGGGGGGAGCTCGATCCTCGGACCAAGATCTTCGACACTGAAGCAAACGACGGCCGGCGAGGACGGACGACGGCGGCGCGAGGGGGAGATGGATCCAGATCCGCCGCCTGGTGAACCGATGTCCTGGGACCCCAGGGGGCGGCGGATGTGGATATATTATATATATATATATATATATATATAATATATATTATATAAATGTAAAATGTATGTGTGTATGTATATGTATATATGTACACGGATATGTCTCTGTATGTGTACATGTATATGTATATGTATGTTGTACGTTGTATGTTGTATACGTACATATGTGTATAGTTATATGGATCGGTATATGTCTATGTAAGTGTATGTGCAGATTTATGTGTATGTGTATAAGTATATGTATATGTATATGTATATGTATATGTATATGTATATGTATATGTGTATGTATATGTATATGTATATGTATATGTATATGTATATGTATATGTATATGTATATGTATATGTATATGTATATGTATATGTATATGTATATGTATATGCATATGTATATTTATATGGATATGTATATGTAAATATATATGTATATGTGATTGTATATGTATATGTATGCGTATGTGTGTATATGTATATGTGTATGTAGGTGTATATGTATAAGTGTCTGTATATGTTTATGTGTGTGTCTATGTCTATGTCTATGTATATGTATACGCATGTATACATGTATACACAAATATGTTTATGTACGTATGTATGTATGCACGTACGTATGTATGTATGTATGCATGTATATGTGTATGTAAATGTGTGTAACTGTGCGTTAAGCATACATATATATATATATATGTTACATACATACAAACATGTATTCCACAAATGCACCTACTTACACACATGAATATATGCGCCCGAACGGCCCCGAATACATCGGGTGCACGGCCTCCCGAGGTCCAAGGAACTCGGTGTCCCAGTAAGTGGATAAGGAGGTTTCTCGGCTCTTCGAATTCATCTGGAAACCGATGTACCGTGTTTTCCCCAAAACAGTGCTTGCACTTGGGGGTTTCTACTTCTGGTCTACGGAACTGGTCTGTTTGTCGGTCTGGAGGCTCCGTGCCGGCCGTCGCCGCCCTGTCACCGGCGCGTCGCCGCCCGTCGCCTGAGTTTGTGTCTCGGTCTGGCGGCTCCATGCTGGCCGTCGCCGCCCCGTCGCCGCCTCATCGCCGCCCGTCGTCTGGGCCTCCATGTCGGTCGCCGCGTGTCTTGTCGCCGTCGCCGCCCCGTCGCCGCCTCGTCATCGCCCGTCGTCTTGGCCTCTCTGTCGGTCGCCGCGTTTGTTGCCGCCGTCGCCGCCCCGTCACCGCCCAACACAGATTGCGCAAGATGTACGGTACCATAGAGGTTGCACAAGCACCACATAGATTGCACAAAGTAATTTGCACCACGTCGATTGCACCACATAGTTTGCACCACACAGTATGCACAACATACACTGCACACCATATGCTGCACGACATATCTTGCACCACGTAAGCTGCACCACAGAGTTTACTCCACGTGCCTGATAGAGCGCACCACACATGTTGCACAATATAGATTGCATAACCTAGATTACGCCACATATGTTGCTCCACCTCTATTGCAAAACATGTGCTTCACCGCACACATTGAACCAGATACATGTCACGACGTCGATTGCACAGCATAGATTGCACAATACAGATTGCACCATATCGATTGCTACACATCGGTTGCACCACATCGAGTTGACATCATATAGGTTGCACAACAGGACAACGTAGATTACACTGCATATGTTGCTCCACATATCTTGTATAACGTGGATTGTACCTCATATGTCGCACCACATAGATTGCACGACATCTATTGCACAACTGAACAATATAGGTTGCACAACATATTGCACGCCACATATCTCACAACTTAGATTGCACCAAATAGATTGTTCCACATAGATTGCACAACCTACATTGTTCATAACACACTGTTTGGGGCCAGCGCTGGCTAAAATTCTGACTGAACTTAAAGTCATCCAACAGCAATTCTACAAGTGCAATCCCTTCATTCACACAGTTGCAGTTGATAAGGGATATTCTCGCCGAAATCCTTGTCTCCCGTCACGCAGCTTATCGGGGTTTACATCGAGTCCGCAAAGGACGATAGCGCTACTGAGCTGCACCTGACGTTTGAGAAAAGTCCTATCCAAAGAATCTCTGCCTCAGAGGCGGCGGCGGCGACGATGTCCATGACGACGACGGACTCCGCGCGGGCACTGGCTTGGAGATCGTTTTTCTGGCGATAACCCGGGTTATCTGGTGGGGGGGAGAGGGGGGAGAGGTACCGGCCGATAACCAAACCTTTTCGCTCTGGGCCCCACGCATGCCCGCGCGAACCAGAACTGCGCACCTCCTTGGGACCTGCGCAACTCCGACGAGGCCAGCTGATCTGTTGGGGGAGGGGGAGGGGCGGGCGGGCCCAGTAACCCGGGTTCTCGCCGGACCCTGAAAACTACAGTCTCCTGCTCGAGCATCTGCTCGCGGAGGTCGCCGAAGCGCTTCTCGCAGGCTGCCGCGGCCCGCGCCGGCGCTCTCTCTCCGGTTCCGGTGTCGGGGGGGGAGGAGGAGGAGGAGGACCTTTTGGACCTTTTGACCAAGCACAGGGTCGTGCGGGGAAGGGGGAGGGGGGGGGAAGGGGGAGGAAAGCGGACCCCGAACGGGGGTGCTTTGGTGCAGGCGGAACCCCACCTCACCGCCACACCCCCGCACCTCCCACTGGCCAGCAAGCCCTCCGAGGGAGGGCCCGTTAACCAGCGGAGGCGGACGGCCCACCGTCCCCACCCTCGGGCACAGCAGCACGTGCGTACAACCTCTCCAGGCCGCCGCGTTCGCGCGCATCGAGGGCAGCTTGCAAGGGCTTCGGCACCCCCTCTCTTCGGGGGTACTTGCCCCCCTCGATGCGGCTTAAATTCTCTCGGCCTTTCCGGGACAAACCCTCGCATTTCGCCGCGAGGTGGCGCCCATCGACCGTGGCGTACTTGCCACAGGTGGTGCAGAAACTCATGAGGTAACGCTCCCACCGCTGGACGGTATGGGAGGGGTGCACATCCCTGCCAGCCGCCAAGCCCCCGCCACTCGCCCCCACTCCCAGGACAGGGAGGCCTCGGCACTGGGTCTTGGCGGCTTCGATGAGACGAGACACGGGCACTACAATATCGCACTGACTGCACCTCCAGGCGCCCTCGGCTTGCTCGAAGCGGTGGCTGGAGGTCTGCAGCGCGAGGTGCCTCCTCGAAGGGGGGGCTCTCCGCTGCAGCGGCCCGCACTCCACTCCATGGGTCAGCCTCCGCAGCCGGGGCCAACGCGCGCCTCGCGCACGCTCGAACCAGGGTGCCGATCGCATCCCAGTGGTCAGTCTGAGGCTCACCCTCCTCCACCGACACCGCCCACCCTCTCCCCGCCGCCGCCCCCGCCTCTTCATCGGCCAGGGCGTTGCCCTGAATTAGGTAGGGATCGATCGGATCGCTGAGAGAGGTGGCTTCGTCCATATGGGAAGGGATCCATTTCAGGTTCACCTCCGACGACCGAGCCTGGAAGGCCACCCAAATTCGAGACCACACATCTTGATTTGCGCCATTCATATGGAACTGCCGGCCCCTCCCCCATGCTTTCATGAGGGGCTCGTGGTCAGTCACAAACAGAAACCGGTCGGGGACATGATCTAACGCGATGGCAAACGCGAGCAGCTCCGCACGAGGGACCGTTTGAGGCTGCTCCCCGACAGGGGTCGAAAAGCCCCACGCCAGCCTCCAGCCCCCTTGGCCGTCAGGCTGCATGGCGATCACCGCGGTGCCACACCTATGTCTACGTGGGTCCGCACTGTGGACCCCCCCGATCCGTCTCCGAAAACCACCACACTCCCAAAGTTGGGACGCGGCTCGACCTCAGAAATCGGGAGCGGCCCCAGGGACCGAAGGTTTTCTTCAGGAGAAACCGAGAGATGGGTGTAGCTCTTAGGCGGCACTCCTCTAAGCCACAGCACTGGGCAACTCTCCCACTGCACCTGGGCCTGCTGTCTGATACACTCACTCTTCTCGAATTCTTCGAAACCGACATTGCACGGGCACTCCCACACTCGATGGAAGAGGGTCTCTGTGCCCTGCTGGCACCTTGGACACACTGTGGCTACATCATATCCTAGGGCCGCCTGTCTTTCTCGAGTGAACTGTCTACCTGACACAGCCGCATTCTGGAGGCCTGTGAGATCATAAGCTTCCTTTGCCAAAAACTTGCGAACTTCGCGACTCGCCAAGAGAACGTCCCCTCCCCCAAGCTCCAACCCCTCACCACCATAATGAGAAGCCGCCTGGGTCCAAAACTGGGACGCAAAATCCTGGACCAGGTCGTCGAGCAATTCGATGAAATCGGCATCCCCCTGCTCGAAACCAGCCTCGCTCGCGCACGGTAGTCTCCAAACCTCGCTCCCGTTCTCAGTTGGACGGCGCCACGAGTCTGGGGAGAACGGGATCCACCCTGTCTCGTAAAGTGTGGCGACCACCGCGCTGACGGGCCCACGCACCCTATTCCACCGCGTTTTAGCAGGCCAGAGCCGAGGGGTTAGATGTTTCCACGCCGCTCGGATGCGGTCGTGGAGCTCTGGCGAAGACTTCCAAAATAAACAGAATTCGAGGACCAACTGACGGCGCAGCTCCAGACCAGGATCTTTGACCCCTAAGTGCATGGAGAGCACCGTAGTCAGACACCGACCCGAACCCGTTCCAGCGATAGCCTGGCCAGCCTGCCGCCTAAGGTTCCGAATCTGACTCGGGCTCACGCCGTGCACTTGGTGCCCGTACACCGCTTGGGGAAGGGCCCCCGTAGTCCAAAGAGACTGCGATATCTTCGATAATTTAGCCGAACGCCTGAGCTTCCTGATGCGACGGAATCTCTTGGTGGCCTTGACAAGCCTACTCTTAGCTCGCGTGAGAATCCTAGCTTTGCCTACAGTGGCGTCGCACCCTAAATCTACCGCTGACGTCTCGGCTGAATGTGGGACCTTGGCTGCCTTCAACAACTGACTTATCCGAGCTTTGACGTGAGACGATGAGGCCAGGACAGTGGTCTTATCCGAAATAACAAGCCGAGCATCTCGCAGACCTTCAGTCAACACTCTCGCCGAGGCTGCCAAGGAGATCGCTACACTCTCTGCCGTGCCTTCGGCCCTCGAGACCGCATCGTCGATAAAGGACCACAACCTACAAACCTTGACCTGCCGATGGGTACGGTCCAAAATCGAAAACAGAAACAGTTTCGCGAGCGGCACCCCCCGGCAGGACCCTGCGACGAGGGAGCGCGTTGGGTAAATAGCTCCACTAGCTCCTCCTGGGAGGAGGAGGAGGAGGAGGAAGAAGAGGAGGAGGAGGAGGAGGATTGACAACCACGGCCATGGACCCCACTAAATGGGACAATTTGTTTCGAGGTCGGCTTTGACCCCCCTTCTCTTGTGATCAGGGTGGAGCCCTCTCTGCCCAACCTCGACCAAACTTCGCTGCGGTCTGGCGGCCTATCTAGACACTGTTTTGCGAGTCTACGCCTCTGGCCTCCAGTCGAGAAACCAGCACAACTCTGACACACACACACACACACAGGCGAAGCTCTGGTCACCAAAGTCAACCACGATGCAGTGGTGACCGAGCTCCCGCAATTTAGCGGGGTCGATTCGGAGCTGGCGCGAGAACGGTCTTTCGAAAAAGAACCGCCCTTCACGCGTCAAACTGCTGCGCCAAAGCGAGAGCCGCATTTTGAAAACCGCCCGCCCTCCATGCGACGTGAAACGGCTGCAAATGCTTGAGACGACTGTGCACGACGCCGAGGCGAGAATCACATTCTGACAAAGGGCCCGCCCTCCACCCGTGAAACAGCTGCGAATCTTCGGCATGCGCGCGCGCGGCGCTGCGGCGAGAACCTCATGCTGCCAACGGCCCGTGAAGAAGCGGATGCAAATCTCAGGCTTCAGGGTCGCAAAAGTGGGGAGGAAGTCTCGGGCGACACGCCCGGCCCGCCCTACCGACACGTCTGGGGGTGCGACAAGGAGGCGCGCTTTTTGGAGGGCGAGGAATGGAGGAGGAGCGCCGCCGCCGACAACGACGGGGACTGCGACGACGACGACGACGACGAGGACGAGGACGAGGACGACGACGACGACGACGACGACGACGACGACGACGACGGCGCCGACACCGCCGCCGACGAAGGATAAAGACGGCGACTGCGACGCCAGCGACGCAGACGTCCCACTGGCCCGACTTGCTCGAGGCATCGGCCCGCAGAATCGGGGGGGCACAAAGCTGGGGTTGGGGGCACATGTGGGGTTGGAGGGAAAATCGCTCCGGACGGCCCCTGGAAGAAGGAAGCGCGTTAAACGGGAGCATCCAACTGGGCCCGCTCCCCAGCCCCACCTTGGGATAACCCTCCCTCTGCGACTAAGTCGGGCATGTAGTCGGGCATGTCCCCCTACAGGCGGTTTTGGATGATTTTGTTTGATAGGAAAGCTCCCAAAATGCTCCGATATAGTCAAAAATAATTTAAAGAATCGTCCCCGATTTGTTTTTGCTATTTCCCTACCTAGGCTCTGCCTAGAAGGGTTCTTACCCTCTAGCTTAAAGGGGCCGGGCAGTGGGAACCGGCCCAGGCGGTTCCCCCAGGATCCGCCCCGCAATTCCCCCAGTTACGTCCCCTTAGCGTTGCTTATCTCATCTTAGCTTGGCCTAGCTTAGCTTAGCTTAGCTTAGCTTAGCCTAGCCTAGCTTAGCTTAGCTTAGTTGAGCTCAGTTTAGCTTAGCGCAGCGCAACATTAGCATAGCATATCAAAGCATAGCATTGCATATCATGTCATAGTATAACATAGCATAGCATCGCGCTGTATGTCATAGCGCAGCATAGCATGGCATGGCATGGCATGGCATAGCATAGCTTAGCATAGCACAGCGCAGCATAGCATAGCTGTAGCATAGCATATCATGTCATAGCATAGCATAGCGCAGCATATCATAGCACAGCATAGCAGATCATAGCGCAGCATAGCATAGCATAGCGCAGCATACTAGAGCATACCATAGCATAGCATAGCATAGCATAGCGCAGCATAGCAGATCATAGCATAGTCTGGCATAGCATACCATAGCGCAGCCTAGCATAGCATAGCATAGCATAGCGCAGCATAGCACAACAACACATATCATAGCGCATCATATCATAGCATAGCACAGCCTAGCATAACACAGCGCAGCCGAGCGTACCCTAGCATCGCATAGCATAGCGCAGCATAGCATAGCATAGCATATCATAGCATATCATAGCAGCAAAGCAAAGGAAACTCAACAGCAGCAACAGCAAAACCAAGCAACAACAAACATAAAAGCAAAGCAACAGCAGCAGCAACAGCAAACGCAACAGCAAAGGCAAATGCAAAAGCAAAGGCAAGAGCAAAGGCAATGCAACGCAAAAGCAAAACCAATGCGAAATTGTAGATGTATGTGTAGATGTAGGTGTAGGTGTAGATGTGGATGT